AGGAGATATATATTATATATATATATATTATATTATATATATGTATATATATATATACTATATAGTCCTATACTTTATATATATATATATATATATATATATATATATATATATATATATTATATATATATATATATAATAGATATATATTATATATATATATATATATATATATATATATATATATATATTATATATATATATATTATACTATATATATATCTATATATATACTATATATATATATATATATATATATATATATATATATATATAAATAATATATATATATATATATATATATATTATATATATATATAGATCTATATATATATATATAGATATCAATATATAGATAGATAGATAGATAGATAGATAAAACATTTGCTTAAAGAAACTGTATTTCAATTTAACCTAAATTAGCATTAAACTTAGAATTGCAGAGAAATTAGATTTAGAGGATATAAAAATTAACATAATTATTATATTTTTTTCGGCACTATAAACTGTCCTTATATCCTTATAAAAAGTGTCGAAAGTTAAAAAACAACTTTTAAAAATTTTACCAAAATAATCAAGCATATTGTACTAGAATAAATTGTATTATGTCTACCACCAAAAAATTACCAGTTATTTCGGCAAATGTATATTTACACATGAATTTCTAAGCGCACCTTTTATCTGATCTGAAGATATATACAGAAATACATGTAGAAATTGCATCATGACTACCGGGCTTTATATTCGGAGTGTCTATTTCATATGAAAGTTTGTGCAAAAAGTTTCTAGAAAAGCTTTTATGAAGTAGGCGTGGGTGTGAGTGTCCGTTATAGCTGAGTCCGTGTTAAGCGTCCACTACCTACATATAAGGATAACATTAGAAATTAATTCGATTGGGATAATAGGTAAAATGTAATATGTAAACACCAAGTGTATCAAGTGTATCTTTAAAATATAAGGATAACTTTGTATCAATATTTTCAAATTTACTAATTCGTGAATACTATGTTATGGTAACTACTTCATATTGGTTATCATATTCAATTTTCTGATAGATTGATGATAATAATACACATTAATTATTGAACAAATGGTATAATACCTCCGGTGATGAAAGACAATATTCGCCTGAAGACGAGGAGTCCAAAATATCAAATTTCATCGACATTTATTATTATCTATAATCTTCAAGCAAACATCAAAATACCTACGTTCAATAAAAAATAATAATCTTTAATTATATTTAATATCAAACCAGTGCAGTAACAAGTAATAACAAATTAATTTATTAATGTAATTAAAAAATAATTAATTTGCCTGATTTGCGTAAGGTTTTGTATTAAAACCATTCGCCTGGATTAATTTCTAAAATGTTGGTCTACGCAAGATGGTCGTAATTTGAGTGACTATACAGGAAAAACCTATTTCTAAACTTGAAGGAGTAAAATTTGATTACATATCATCAGCCCGCTTTGTGAGAAGTATTTAATTGTATAAACCGCATGGCGATATCTTTTTATCTTTTAATTTTCCGATAAAATCACTATTCACACAATTTTGCCTTTTCAAAAATGGTGCAATCTCTTTTGGGCCAGTTTTACTTGCATACTTCAACAGTTAGCTCACGTTTTGTATACCGCAATCACTAGCGAAACTAGGTAATTAATTCTTTTGTAACAGAACACAGAATTTAATTAAAATAAAGTTGTTTCGGATTTTAGTTGATTAATCCTAATTAATTCATAATGTTTTTGGTATACCAGTAGGATATTTTGTAGACGCTATTAGATTTTGTGTTCTGTGACACATAGTTTTAGTGATATGATAAAATATCACATAATTATCAAGCGAAAATGACGAAAAAAGAATTTGTGCTAAAACAGCGTAATTTAGTTAATGTCTAGATTAAAATTTATGATTTTCTGTATTCTAATAATTATTGCTTTCTATAATTACATTAAAATAACTCGAATTTTGTCAATAATTTTCAAATTATGTCACTCCGAACCACTTTCTTTTAATATAGGTATAGGCAAAAAACTGTTACCCACCAACTGTTGCGAACCATCTCGGAAATTTTCGTAGGCCTTCTTCTCTTCTTCTTTTTTTTGTTTTTTTTAACTGCAATTCTCGATGACGAATAGTTCCCGAGATACAATACTTTGCACGCTTATTTGACCAACACGCCCAATTCTAGAACTACTAACTAATGCTGCATATTTTTATAACAATATATTTTTTAATACTTTCATTTATCAATCGAAAAATATAATATATATTGCGATGAATTTTAAGTAGCAAATATCTTTTAATCGGTGAATGTGATAATAATCGGTATTAATATACAGGGTGTTTCATTTAATATTTGCTTTGGTGTCTACCTATGTACCCATGGTAAGTGCAAGTAATACAATATGAGTTCTCTCAAAATATAACAATACTTTGTACCATTTTTCCGTAAATTAAATGTTTTGCGAAATAAGGGATTAGAGGATCTTAAGTGGGACACCCATACATAATATCATAACAAAAGTTGCAAAGGGAAATTTTGCGGCAGCATTATTATGTTTTGCAAGTTCTTAAGTTATATAAGAAGTTATTGTTTGAATTTGTTTGTGGTGTTTGTTAGTGGAGGCTTTATTACAGAAAAATCAGTTGTCGATAAAGTGTGTTGACAAGCCTTGGTTGCCCTTTTCTAAAAACATTAAATTTTTTTTTATTTCAGGATTCTAGTTTTCCAGTTTTACAAAATTATTAAATAATGCAATGAATATTTCGAACTGACTGATTCTCAGGAGTGTATTAGTGACGTAACTGACATGGCCTAATTTTAGCTTTTTAGCTTAGCTTTAAAAAAAATCGTTTTTTATAAATTCATAAAAAAATCAGAAATACAGGAAAAAAAGGAAAGAACAAAAAATTTTTATTTTTGATGTATTGATTTAAAAAATTATTCAATTTTCAAAAAAACAGTGGCGTACCTACCATTAATAAGAAAAACCTTTGCGACGCCACTGGAATGAGTAATTTTATTATGACCCACACAAAATAAAAACCTAAGCCTAAGCTAAGTTTTGTCAAAATCAGCTAATAATGTTTAATGTTATTATAATTAAGACAGAAAAAATGTGTCATGTAAATTTCGCTTATTACATAATTTAATTCAATATTTCTTGAGCATTGGCTGAGTTAGATTTTGACAGTATTCCGATTTTTCAAAATATCTTAGACCAGAGGAGATATATAAAAAAATCTCGCTAATACATGTATCACTATGTTGAATGATGAAGTTTGACTATTTATCAACAATAATTTGTCCCGTTAAGTACGAATAAATTTTAAATTGTATCTTGGAACGCATGTAAATGTCATTTTGCTTTTAATGCTTGTTTATTTTTTGAATGCAAATTGCAATTCGGCACGACCTTCGAAAAATCACCTCTGACTCCTCTATTTTTAAACAAACGAAGAATAGAATACCATCAATTTTAATAACAAAAATGTTTTTAAACCGGTAATACGCTATTGCCTGGAAACAAATTATTGTAGATAAGTTATTCCTTTAACACACTGAAAATAATTTGATAGTATCTGATTTGATACCTATCTCACCTTTTGCGTCGAACGACAGATACAATAAAATCACTTGCATATTGATTATTATACCACTACACACTTTTTTTTCTGAACCAATAATTTGAAAAATGTAAGATTACAAGTGTACTAACGTTTTTTAAAAATTTTGATAACCAAATTTTCTTTTGATATTTCAGGCTACCAACTAGATATCTAAATAGGGTTTTCAATATTTTTTATGAAAGAAAAGCCATGCTATTGCATTTAATTTTGTAAAGAATTTTGAAGTCTTCTGTTATTATTATTAGATTATTAAATTGTTAGATAAATCACAGGTAAGGAGCAATTAACGCAATTAATTAAAAAAAAAAAGCACTGAATCACCCCGATCATTTTATTTTTATAGATAGGTGAAAAACAAAAATTGGTTTGAGAGAAAAATTACTTTGAAAGCTTAAGATGGTGGTCGGCCACTTTTTTTACAGCTAATCTGGATAACGAAGCCACCTTACACAATAAATACAACAGGGCTCTGCTGTATAAATGCCGACGTATTTAATTGGGCGGGGAGAGAAAATGCTATCGGCGATTTTAGGCAAGGCGTTTTCAGTTTTTATTTTTATCTCAAAAACAAAACGAGAAAGATAACAGTAAAATTTTTGTGGAAGAACCACTAACATAACACACAGTTTTGTATATTCTTTGATTTTTTTAGAATGATGGTTTCATTAGATTGCCTCTATATTCTCATTCATCACAACTAAATTTAAAGAACAACGGCAACTTATGCAATGCCATCGAAAAGAAATTGTGATCGCCACATTTATTTACAAAAAATAAAATATAAAATACAAACGACAAAAACGTTACTAAGTAAACCTGCATATGGAAAAATATGCAATTTGTTTTTATACATGTCAAAATTTGTATTTTTTTTGCGGAAGTTGTTCTTTAAATTTTGCCAGGAATTATGATAGGGGTTTTTAAGATAAAAATAAAAACATCATTTTTGGACGAGATGCCTCCCTGTTGGCTGGCTATTTATCCAACGTCAGCCTTTTAGGTTTGATGATGAAAAGGCTTTTGGAAAACTAACTGAATTAAATGATTTAGAGTTTAGTTTAAAAAAATGGCTTGTTGCTTTTAGACTTGTATGCCCTGTATATTTGACACAAAACGTATCGAAGTTATTGCAATACAGGAAAATTACATACCCAGATGTTCTGTTTATAAATATAAAAGTTTGATACGCTATGAAACTAGCATGTATAACGAAATTATTTGAAAAATATATGTTGGGGCGTCATGGTAAATTTATCGGGATCGTAAAGATATTGATTGCGTTATAATCATAACTACATTTTACAGTTTAGTTTTAGTTTGGTGGAAATATTGTGATATATAATAAAGTGGATTTTTTAGGATATTTACGAGCCTTCCAGTCCAGAACGGGTAGTAAATCAAGGAGATTTGGTATTTGTCAGACCGAAACCTTCAGGTGGGTAATTAATTGTTAATTAAAACGTATAATGCATTGGTATCAAATACACCATACAGAATAAAAAACGTTAAAACTGCTACTATTAACCCTGAACTTGACGTTCACGCCTAAGGCAATTGTGTCGTAAATAGAAAGCAAAATCGAAACGCGAGAAAGTGATGTTTTATCGTCATTCTTCTATGGAGTGCAAGCACCTAACTTTCATCGGATTTTATTTTGCCCGGGTATAGATGCATATATAATAATCTAAAAGTATGTCTGTTGATTTTTGTGTGTGCTCACAATGTAATCGTTTTTTTAAATCTGTAAATCTAAGATTTTTTTAGTTTTAACTTCTAAGTAGGAAAGCAAATCTTTCAACGTTAAAAAAAACGTTTGCTTCCATATTTCAAGACTAAACAGTAATATCTGTAAATGATTTTGTTTTTTTTTTTCACTTTAAAGACCACAGAGATACAGATATCTTTTAGCGACATTTGCTAACATTATTGTTCAAATCTTACTACCTTACTAATAATTATATTCGATAATTTTTCAGGTGGAGTTTTGTTGAAAGCAACACCTATTTCTACAATCACGGCCAATCAGCTTTAAGCTCTGTTAAGCTGTTCTGTTGTAAAGTAGCTATTCTTTTAATAAAATATGTAAATTACTACAAAAGGAATAAATAAAATCAAGACGAAAGCACATTTATTTATTTTTAAAATTTTATTAAAAATATTTTATTTACCAACATACTATTTACCTATGCTAGATAATTCGAATCTTAATAATTTACGTTGAGAAAGCTTTAATTTTTTATATTAGGTATACACACAGATGTCTGAATGTACATATTATCTATCAGAAAAATGCACTCCCAGTTAGTTATGCAAATTCTTTTCAACATTCACGCCAAAAAAGTAGTAACGTAGATCCAGGACGTATTTTTAAGTGCCCATCATTAGTTAAACAGAACATGCACTCGTAACGCGTTATTTAGGTACCCGGTCTTCGCCGATAACAACTTCTGTCCCGGATCTTTGGACGTTCATGCGTAATTGAAATCGTTTAGACAAACTAAAAATTAACTTTGAACCTTATTTTCTCTGTACTTTTTTCCAGCTACGGGCTAATTATCTGTGTAACTTGCTTAAACGGACATTTTTATATCGCGCAAATAAATACATAAATAGGTACGATTTTCCGTTGTCTTTTCACCCAATCAATGAAAGAAAAATTATACAGCGTAGCTAAATAAGAGTGCTAAGTTCTGTATTTCAGAAACTATTTCCCATCGAGACATGCTTGGTCAAAATAAGACAGTCCAAAATATTTTTAAATATCCTAGATGGTAGCAAAGGGCCGTAACCGCCACCTTAAATTTTTAAAGGGATTCTTCTATGATATCCATCTAGTAAACGTACCAAAAAATATATGTGTTAAAGACAAAGAATTTTGCACTCTTATTTGGCCACTCTGTATAAATACGAAAGTATCATGTTAATTCCAAGTTTCATGAAAAGGTGCAAAATTATACAGGAGAACTAAGTGCAAACTGCTTAAGTTTATTGGCTCCAATTCTAACTTTTAATGTGTTACCAAAGAAATATATAATTTTCAAATAAAACTGAAATGGTAACCAAGAAATTTCAATTATTCCGAAGAGCATTTCGATTTTTTACAATATTACTGGGTCCGTTTTTTATAATACGCGCAACTAATAAAACAACGGCTTCATTATTGTTCTTTTGATTTAATTAGGCACAAAAATTGTTCATAAACGCACTCATAATCGTTAACATGGTGTAAATAAATATCACTGTAACACTTAAATTTTGATTCCATAAAATACTCAAAACTATAATCCATAGCTACTACCCAAATCAACAATAGATGTTTAATATTCCTAAATTATATAAATGAAAAACCGGATTTTATAGTTATTTATTAACCGAAGAATGAATCGGAATTAAAGGATTTTTACATTGTATCAAATATGTATTGACTTACAATTTAAATGTATTAAGAATTCATCCTTTAGATGTAGAAAAACTTAAATAAACAAAAAGGAACCAATGCAGATTAATTTGGTAAAATTTTATAAAAATTCAAATACAAACAGAAAACAAAAAATGGTTCAAAACCAAATATTAAATTAACTAAAACAAACGCATGTCTTACTCGTGATTATTGATTGATGTTGGAACTCTATCGTAAAATCTTCTATAGGCCTCATCAATTTTAGTTAAATAATATGTGCCAGGAAAGAAAGTGTCAGTGTTACCCAAGGGCTCATATGGCGCCTTATGCAAACTCTCTTTCCTCTCTTCCATGATTTTATCAAACTCTTGTGGCGCGGCTTTAGCTCTTTGATCTAACAGTGAAATTATCAATTTTAAATTTGACACAAGCTTATTTAAGTCTTTATTTTTAACATCTGCAGTAATTGTTATTGAGAAAAACAATGAAGCTAATCCAGATCCATAAGAAAACAAACCCACTTTAGCACCTGCTAACTGCGAGACATCTTTCGACACTAAAAATGAAACTAAACCCCCATACAATGAGGGAGTATACATGTTACCAACCAAATTCGCTACTAATAGTGAAGGTTTCGTTTTCTCTTCAAACAAGTCCTTGCTATACGCTAAGAAAGCACTTTCTATTTCTCTGTCAAAATATGATTCTTCCAATTTAATGTTAGGGAATTTTTTATCTAAATCTGGATACTTCACTGCCCTAGCCCCTTCGGGAACATTAACATAATCATTAACAGCCAACCGTGCCAAAGATTTCTGCACCAACTTGCAGAATGGAGTGTGGAACAGTATTGCATGAAAATAATTTAAATTAATGTCTTGATTGACCCGTTTTTTCACAGAATGAGTATATAGTTTATAACACTTATCAAGAGCACTTAAATAACACTGAATAGAAAGTTTTCCATCCACTACTGGATATTCAGATGTTAAATCTGGCTTGTAAAAATCATAAACATGGCGGCAATAAAAACCCCGAAGGCCACGATCGATGACTAAAGGAGCATTTGGTCCCACGAGCATTGCTATCGCACCAGCACCTCCAGTAGGTCTAGCAGCACTTTTGGCATAAATAGCTATGTCAGCAGCAACCACAAGGGCATATCTACCGTTCCAGAGGGAAGATTCAACCCAAGCGACAGAGTTGAATAAAGCAGCAGTTCCACCAAAACACGCATTTGTAGTATCTATGCCCTCAATATCAGTTACTCCATGTGGTTCAAAGAGCTGCATTAGTACTGTTTTGACACTCTTGGATTTGTCAATTATAGTTTCAGTACCTACTTCAAGTCTTCCAATATCCGATGGTCGTATGCCATTGTTATCTAACAAATTTTGCACTACCGTTAAACACAAGGAATTGATGTCTTCTCGGTCGCTGCAGAAGCCCATTTGTTTTTGACCTAATCCAATTGTGTATTTACCAGCAGACACTCCATCGAATTGCTCCAGTTCTGTTTGTTCCACATATTGCGATGGAAAATACAATTCCATAGCCAAAATACCAACATTTTCTGGCCAAGAACCCATTTTTAGAAAGCCAATACCCGTTTAAGGAAGCGAAAAAAAACCTTCTACCGCTATCGTTTCCGCGGCCTAACTGCGGAATCGCGTAAAAAATATAAAGATTTCGTTGCGAAGACTTCCCTCTCCAAATTGCGATAATTCATTGTGAATTGGAGAAACCGAATTTTAATTATTTATTTCGTAGCCAATGACTTTGACTGCCGTCGACAGACTCATGTCAGATAGTGACGTAACCATGACGTAACTACCGGAACAGAACACGCATCTAAAGACTGCATTTTTGTCTTCGAACAATTTGCACAATTAGACTACTAAATCATTAAATGGTCACCAACAAAATGGAACAGCCCAGATTTGCAGAGTATTTCATATAAAAAATGTTTGATTATTGGATTTCAAATTTTCAAAACTGTTTTTTTGGGAATTAAATTATATAAGAAAAGAGGGAATAGAATATTCACCACTTGATTTTGATTAGGTGTTGATTGTTACTATTCATGTGAATAAAAAAATATGTTCTGAGCTTGGAAGTTTGATTTTAATAGACTTCCCTAGTTGAGCGCAAAAAGAAGAAGATGTTCACGGATAATAGGTTAGTAGTCCGTGCGATCTTTTAAGCGTTTTCATGGTTTGTGTTTCGATTTGCATTTCATATTTTATGCTAATTGGGAAAAGTAAATAACAAACATAAAAAGACTTTCAAATAAAAAAATGACCGATACTAACCAAAAATCAAATTTCGAAGAAGATAAGGGTCAATATTTATCATTAAGTGAAAATTTTCTGGAAGAAACCACCAACACCAAAAGCTTTTTAAATTTAGACCCTGATCTTCAAGAAAAGTTAAAGGAAATACCTGGGGCTTTGGAATACATCGAAAAACTACACAGAATCTTCGAGAGGCAGTTGAAGAAAATTATAAAGTGGAAAAACAAGGCCAAGGTATTAGTAAATTGAATCTATGTAATTGTCCTGAAAAAATATGTTTTTGAAGCAAATATTGAAAAAAGTTGATATTGCTACCCAGACAGACACATTTCAATTTGTTTGTGATAAGAATGAATCTTTGGTTCTTTCACAAGATCTAAAAAGTATATCTGAAGACATTAAAGAAGCAGCTGAGATAGCAGTGAAAACTTCTGGGTTTGTTTATGAAGAGACCTCAGGAATGTATTATGATTATAATAGTGGCTATTATTACAATGCGGTATGTATTTTTTTAACAATGGAATTACATATGTGTTAGGCTTAATCCATTAAACCAAGGATAAAATTATTGAAATTGAAGTTTATTTAAGGAATATGGTTTGTATTATGATGGCAACACTGGAACCTACTTGAAATATAACCAAGAGACCAACAATTATGAATTCCATTCTCAAATCAGCAGCCAAACAAACACTGCTGCAGGGGATTCTCATAAAAAGAAGGCTAAAAGAAAACCAGATAGCAGCAGAGCAAAAGTATGGAGTTTTATCATTTTAAACTAAACGGGAATAAAACTTTGAAGTACTCATAATCTTTCAGGTAAACTTCGGTGATTTGGCGACTTTAACAAGTTCATTTGATAAAATGAGAATAAATAATCTTCAATCCATTGCCATGGGTACGTATTGTATGAGTAACATCAGTGTTATTTCCAGGATTTTAAACGTCGGAGGTCAAATAGTGATTATGAAGCCACTGACTTTGAGGAGGGCGAGTGTTCAGACAGTGCTCAGAGCAGCAATGAAGATAATAATAGTAACGATTCAAGTGGTACTGAATAATTTTTTACTTTTAAGCAATTACTAAGAATTATTTTAAGAATGTGTTAGTTTTTTCTCTATGTTGCATTTCAGTGAAGTAGTTAATTATTATTTCTGAATTGCCATCTCGGTAATTTGCTTAGTTGCTTATCAACAAATTTTAGCGCTCAAGCGGTAAAAATTTCTCATATTAGTTGATTATACTTGAAGTAAACTGGTAGATAACCAGAATTTTATCAATCAGCTGAAAATTACAGTTAAAATGAATTAATGGATGAATGATGACTAGGATCTTGATGGACTTCTCCATTATTACATCTATTTGCCAGTCAGACTTAACCTCAAACACTTCATAAGTGGGGATAGCCGCAATTTGAAAACAATAGTTTCTCACAGTTTGTGGATTGACTTTGTTTATTTGATAACTAACCAAGGATGCTTTGTCGTGAACAGTTAAATTTTTTGGACAAGCAGAAGCAGACTATTTTGTGTGAACCAGTGGTCAATAATGTAAACATTATATCCTTAGACTTTCTGTTTTCTCTATAAGTTTGTAACAATTTTCTGCACAGAATTTGAAATTTTGCGATGTCTCACTAATTTTTAAAAAAAACTTTTCGCTATTAACAACTATATTCATAACAAACTGAAAAATTTCATTCCTTTGACACAATTCCCAGGGACACTTGAGTTATGCATGTAGTCATGTTTTAAATAAAACCGGGAATATAAGAAAAAAAATCGCAATAGGGTCTGGATCTATATTTTAGAACCGTCTTAATGATAATAAAGCACTTTATTAATTTAAAAAAAATGCAAATAAAATGTATATTATCTTATGCTCTAGGGGAGTTTCACTTCAGGCAGAAAACGTCAAGTTCTTAGATGTCTGTTCAGCTAACCTAGAAGTTGACTTTAAACTAGACACTCAAAGCATATTATTTATAAAGGAGAATAACAATAAATTATGTGAAATTTACATTTTTCTATAAAATAAACATCTCCTATAAAGGTGCGTTGATTGACATTAAGAACGAACAAATAAATACTGATTATGTAAAGAATATGTGAACATATAGTTAAAATGTAGCAGGACTAAGGAGTCACACAGAAGTATTTTTAATCATATGGTAATATCATTTTTAAGTTATAAGTAAGTTTTTTCTAGACATTTGTTTACATGAACTGGTAATCTTCGGTCTTCTTCAGTATGCGAACCCAGGGTTTTAATAACATATAAAATTCAATAACTTTATTATGAACCCTAATTTGAGGAGAGTTTTGAAAAATTTTCTATTCTCTTTACTACCAAAAATAATTCCCATGGATTTGCGGTTATTAAGGTTTAAATAATGTTTTTTCGGTTATTTCACACAAATCGTAATTTAATGCTGTTGCTGGCTGTTTCCGGTTTAAAAGGTATATATAGGTGTGTATCAATTGCAAAAAAGTGATAAGAACATGACAAAAAAGCAGATGGAAACTTTGAAGTATAAAAAAATAAGAGCCCTTGAAAATTAAAAAAAAAATCGACTTAAACATTAATCAATTTTTTATTCCTTCTGCTCCCTTGATAAGATAATTGTTTTTTTCAGATATTTTAAAGCAATGGCCGCCCTGCATGCGAATAATTGTAGAGTCCACCGAAGTGCCCAAAATTAAAGCGGGTTCGTTACACATTATTACTTGCGACGGCGGCTCTATCGGAAGAGAAGGCAAACATTCAATAATTTTAAATGACATCAATGTTAGCAAACACCATTTAAAAATACTCTTTGACAAAGACCTTAAGAAATATTTGGTATACGACCTCGGTTCAAGAAATGGCACCTGGTTGAATGGTAAAAGAATGAGTTCATCAAAACAGGAAAGCGATCCTATGGAAATCAGCCACGGAAGCAAAATACAAATTGGTTCTACAGTGTTGCTATGTCATGTTCACGCCGGAAGTCAGACTTGCGGTCACTGCGAGCCAGGCCTTTTGATACAAAACAAAAAAGGTAATCACAAAATGTTAAAGGCAATTTGAGAAAGTTATTGGTATTGTAGATATTATACGGCATTTTAATTATTTTGTTATTAATTGTAAAAATCTTGGTTGATCATTCCATTATGTAGGTCAGAATTAATTTTAAATAGTTTAATTATTATAATAATTTTTTTTTATAAAAATCTTACACAATTCTCAAATAACTAGGTTTTATGATTTACGATTTATTGTATGTGAGAGTGATATTCAGACCTTTCGCATTGACCTGATGGTCTATTGTGACAGTTCAAAGTATGCTTATTCAGATCCTCAACTATGAATGTTTCAGTTTTGAGTATCTGATTCTTCCCCCCGCCAGAATCTGCAGATCATTATTGGCGTGGTGGATTTTGTGCATAGGCTATTGTCTGGTGTACATCCCCAAGAGAATTTTCATATTTGGTCTTTTTGTTGTTAATAGAGTGCATTTATTCATATGACATTCAATCACTGTCTTCAAATGGGAATGCCTCTTCTCCTATCCAGACGTTCATTGTGATCGTGTTGGTATAGCGAAGATTGGCTGTGGACCGATTAGTAGTTGTCTCTCTTCTTCTTTCTTCACAAAGAGGTGGACTTTTTTTGTTAACTGCTAGTACATGATACTCGGTGCACTATGTCAGTGTTACCTTATTACATGGATAGGTCCTCAGTTTTTTACGTTCCTGGATGAGCACTGGAGTGTTTTTAATTCCTTCAGTACTGCTTGACTGTCCAAAATTGTATTAATTATTTTCTGCACAAGGGGCCAGTGACTTCCGTCCTTTGGTGCTTCCATTAATGAAAACACTTGCTTGGCAGATTCACTCCATTAATCTCATTAATTTGCTAAGGGTGCCAGTAATGGCTATACAGGTCTGCCCCTTTAACCTCGTAATTTTCATCTGGGCCAGTCGTTGCTGTCAGTTGCGCCCCCAGGCAGTCTATCTGCTTAGAATTCTTCTCAGTTTTTGGTTAGTTTGTTAGTAATAACTTCCAGATATTTCGCATGGTTGAGAAGTTTATAGTTTTACATTGTACTGAAGAAGGTACTAATTTGCTAATTGGATAATGGTATTACTTCTGTTTTAGGGGTGTTTATCATCATACTTTTAGTCTGACAACATTTGTATACAGTATGCAAAGTCGTTTGAAAGATAATAGATACTCCCTTTTAATATTAAAATAAACAGGGGCGCGTAACATTTTAAGGATGTAAGTTTTATTTTTACATACAGTTTTTAAATAGTTGTAAGCTGCAGAAATTTCTATAAAATTGACCCTCCCTTCTTCTCTTCTTTCTTTTCAGTACCGATTAAATCCATTAAAAAAATACAGACTTATTTATTTTCTCCAGGTCATAAGTTCAAATATTCAAAAATAGTTTTTTTTTAAGTGGCAGTTTTTGGTAACTTGTGTTTCAATAATTTTGGTATACTTTTTTTTTTCATTCTGAACAGCGGATGGCAGAAATACCTGTTATAATAGATACTAAAATTTATGACGAAAATATTAATAACTTTGCGAAAAACTTAATACGTAACTTGGGTTCCATTGTCAGGTAGTCAAATTGTTTTCGCATCTGATGGGGTTCTGTCAACGGTCTATAAGCTCTTATTTTAAGCAAACATAGCTTACACTATTCTGTGTGGAACCCGAAAATAAAATCATTAAATATCTTTCTTACACAAAAAAATTAAGACAAATGGTGGTAATGACCCTTTTCGAAGAGATAATAAGATAACATCCCTCCATAGCAGAAGAGGTATTGCAGACTTTGTTTTTTTCTACAAGTTACTTAGTTTGATAGACAATTTAGATCATAGAGTTAGGTTTTGTATTCCAAAAAGACACTTGCGCCATCACCAAACTTTTTTCACCCTATTTAGACCAACAAACTTATATCAAAGGGTCAGATCAGAGTTCATAATGAGCACTGCAACATTGCAAAATTGTTTTAAAATGCAAATTAAATTTTATTTTTCAATGATTTTTTTCCTTTTTTGTTGTATTTATAGTTGTACTTCAACATTTTTTCCTTCCCATTTTAGCGAATACTTGTTATGGATTTTTGTTAATATTAAAAAAACTATAGAGCTATATGGTATATTTATAATTAAAACTACTTACTTGTAGATTTTAAAAAAAGTATCCATACTCTATGTTCTGCCGTGGTTGCCGAAGTAACACTTCTCAAATTTATTATGTAAAATCAAATGAATATGGTCGTCATTCTTTAGAAACTGTTTCTACTACAATAGTTACTATTCCAAAAGTTTATATTTGCATTTTTTTCTAATTTTATCTTCATTCTCATGAAATGATCCTTTTTGGTTGAAAGAGTTTGCTGCTTTGTAGCATTTCAAAAATATTTATAGAGAAAAAAATAATTTTGTCAATTGTGGGTTTTTATTTTAGAGGTCTGTAGGGATACCGTGAGCATGAGCGATAAGCACAAGAGCGAGTTAAAGAAATTAAAGAAGCAGCATGGTTTTCTGGGTTTTGGAGGTGACGATACAGAGATAGTAAAGTTAGCTGACGGGTATACAGATCGCGCTCAGAAAAGGCGTGAAACGGTGGGCAGTCAGAATCCATATGAAAAAACTCAGTCCGCCTCTATTGACGAGTAAGGCGCTGTCCCGGTTCCATGCAAAAAAAGTATAAATAAATCTGTTTTAGGCGTATTCCGTCAGAAAATAAAGGTTTCAAATTATTGAAGAAAATGGGTTGGCAAGAGGGTCAGTCCTTAGGGAAAGAAGGGGATGGACTTGCTGAACCTGTAAGTATGCAAGTTTTCGGAATTGAGATTCCCCTAATTTAAGCAGCTCATTTAAATCCATGTTTTAGGTAAAAGTCATTTCCAATAGGGGAACTACTGGCATGGGAGCTGAAACTATTCCTATTGTAAATTCGGCTCAGGATAAAAAACTAAGCATTTGGAAGAAAACTCAGGAGAGGTTCGAGAAGTTACCGGCAGAGGAAGAATGTAATGATGTAATAAATTTATGTTAGTCATGTCGCTTAGTAATGAATTTTAACTTAGGACGTTTATTTACCTGTTGGCCTTAAATCAGTTTGATAAATTTTTCTGTTAATTGCATTGAAGTAAAAAAAGTGATGAAAACTGTTTGTTTTATTTAAAAGACAATACCTCCGCCCTCAAAATATTTCAGATTTGTTATTAGCCCAGGGCAATTTTGGTGGTGCCTTACTAGGCTTGCGCGCGCGCCCCTAATTTGCGTACACTAAACTATATAAACATTTTACTTTACTAGAATAAAATTATGGAATAGTATATTGTCAAAGAAATGCATGAAACCAACTTTTTTTTTGTAATTTTTACGTTGAATAAGCCACCATTTATTATATATGTAGCTATGTGGTTTAGAGTTAATAGTTAGCATACTGATTTGCATTTATTTGATGTCAGACAATGGTTTGTTTCTTTCACTTTTACTTTTGAATAAAAAAAGAAGTTTACATTTCATAGGGTTCAAGTTGCCGTTCCCTCCACACTCCACCACCTTCAATCTTTTAATTGAAATGTAGGTATAAGCGGTGTTTATCTAAGGATTAAAATAGAATAGAGGTCGAAGTTCGTTTGACTTTTAAAAATTCTCTAAAAAACTTTTGTTCTGTGGATTGCTGTCGATTCTTTCGTTCATAGAAATACTCTCTCCTTTTCTCTTCACAAACTGTTGGGAAACTCTACTATGGCCATTCGCCCATTACCGACTTCCGTCGAGGATTTCTTCGTTTCTGGTCAATGACCAACACATACGAAGAAGAGAAATAAACAAAATTTGCTCAGCTAACAAAAAAACAGTTTTGACCGATACCGGATGGTCCTCGCTTCCACCGCGGACCATTCGGCCACCATACCGGCGTGAACGATTAAAACAGCGAGGTCGGCGGAACTTTTACACTTAAAACGAACATCAAACACTGCCGAAACAGAATCACACAAATTAAAGACCGATACCAAGGTTTCTCGAACGAATACGGCGTATTCTGCTGGAAGCGAACGGAGGTTAAACCGCCGCGTGCAATGCTCCACCACAGAATGTCCATAGAAATAATATTGCTTTATGTCAGTGGATGGCGACGGAACATCATCAGCTTTACTCAATTTTGGTTAAGTCAATGAATAACCTATTTTGTTAATATCCATAGAAAGTTTCAGTGCCTAAATTTAGCACAGAAATATCCCGGTGATAATTTGATTAGGTGGGAATTTACGCATTTGGTGCGGTTTATTTACAGCGTAACGTTTTTGGCGCCTGGCGCTTAACTAAATTATGAGAGTTGTCCTTTTCAATTTTTTGATGTTTTGCGTCAGTCAAATATAGTGATAGTTTGTGAAAAAAAGTTCGGTTATCCCATACTCCAAAAAGATACAAATTATTTAAAAAATGTCTCATTTACTACGAAATCGTAGGATCGCAAACTATGTAACCCAGCGTTTCCAACAAACGCAAGTGAAAGTCAAGCTTAATCAGACCCCAGGAATAGTGACTACAGGACCAGTATTTAAGAACGCCAAAAATTTTCCAGATAAGGTGGCCATTAGGGATCGCATTGCAGGTAAACAAAATGGTTTTTTTTTGCTATGTAATGGGGAACCCATAATCTAGTGTGAGATTGCAAAAACTTAATTCATTGTTTTTATCTCAGGTTATACTTATGCCAATATATTTTTGAGTGCAAATGAACTTTCAAAAGAAATAAGCAGCCTCCTGGGTGGTAAAACTAATGAACGTGTTTTGTTTTTGTGTCCAAATGATGTACACTATGTGATCACTTTATGGGCTATTTGGATGTCTGGACAGATAGGTGAGTTTATTATGCGTGCTTTGCTTTTTTAATTTTTTACGGTGAAAACGCTCTTTTGTAGTTTTTCTATTTTTGAGTAAAAAATGAATACACTTAAAACAATTGACTGGAAGCAAAAACAAAGTCAAGATTTAAGATCACCTGCAAATGATAGTTGATTCACTTTGTTAAAAAATTGTTATTTTTATATGTTATATTTTATTGTTATATGTTTGTTCATATCTCATTGTTAAACTTGCAAAACTGTCAACATGTTTTGAACAGAAAGTTTAAACCCTTGTTTTCACTGCCAGTATTACTCTACTGACCTTGATAGTGGTTTATTTTTAGCCAAGACCTACATTTTTTGATAGCTTTGGTTTCTCCTTTTAAAATTCAAATTGCACTGTTATAATTTATTTTATTTGACATGTAATTTATAAAGTTATTTTTTTAAGTACAATTGCAGTAAAACTAAGATGGATGTTAAAGTATCTAAATATGTGATTAAAAACGTTGGTACCATGTACCATTTATATTTAAAAAAGTGGTTCAGCGGTTTTATTTTCCATCTACTCATACTATAAAACCTTTCAGGTTCATTTTTGCCAGGAAGACTTATAATTTAAAAAATTTTTACACACAAATCAAATTTTCTGATTATTTTTGTAATTGTAAAGTATTTTCCTGTGCCTATCTCTTGCTTTTTAATTTAAATTCTTATTGACGGGTTAATTTTGGTTAGTTTTTAGAAGGCTGAAATTTTGACTGCAATTAGCCAGTATACTAAGTGCTAGTTCTCTGCAGTTCTCTGTAGAGTAATTTCTTTTCCAACTTTTACAAAATTTGCCAAAAGTATTTTTTTTTTCAATTGGAATACCCTGTTTATTATCAAATATTCTGACAGATCATAGAAAGCACTTTCATAAATTGGCTATAGTCATTGCATGGACAAAAAATATTTTATTAATGGGATTGAAAAAGTGAAGAAATAAGAATCGAAATGGTTGGAGATTATTCAAATGAATCTATGAAGAAACTTTTTATTATCTGTCTCAGATTTGTGCGTCATACGTCTGGTTAAACCCAGCCGTTTGAAAAAAACGGATAAAAGAATTAAATGTATGGGTCATCTAAGAGTCATCGCATCTATATAAGACCATTGGTGTATTATACTTTTAGCTTTAGTTTTGTTGGAAGGTGGCAAGGTTGTTAGTAAATTTTTATAGGCGGCGGTTAATTTATTTTCATTGTGTATTCCATATCATTTCATTCTTTTATTCGTTAAGTAATTAAACAATATAATGATTAAATTAATAATAAAATAATTAGATATTCGCAATTTTTAGAAGAGAGTACAAGCTCGATTTTGGGGCAAGTCAAAAAATGACATTGTTTACATGTGCCAAACTTAATTTTTCTCTAAAAACAAATAGTTTTTGTTATATATATCATTGTATCGAAGTACGCAACTGATCAGACGTTTGTCTGTTTTACTTAAATGGATGAATTTACTTTGCTCACTATTTTAAAAACAATTGTACTCAAATTTCCATTTGGAAAAACATTTTAATATTTGAAAATCGTCGCCAGATAATGCAAATTGTGCCTTAAATAATAACCGTTGCTCATCGCCTTTTAACTCAATCACGCTACACATTGTGCAAATTTTCAAAATTATTTAAAACACAAGAACTAAATTAACTGTGCCAAATCAAAGTGACTGTGGAGATAGTTTCCAAAATCATTTATTGTCAATTATTTGTGATAGGTCACGAGTCATAGTTTACTTTTACTTTCTCAGCTTATGTGCCCTTATAGCAATTCCAGTTAGCCCTTTGCACCCAGCCGGGCTGCTTATGTACTATGCAAACGATTCATCTTCGAAGCTTCTGATTACTGTGCCTGAATTCGCGGACGTAATGTCGCGAGTAACAAGGAACTCAAGATCACACCTCCACGTCCTAGATGACCGACTGAAACTCAATTGCACCATGATGGAGGCATCGCGCACTTCCGATTTAGAACAAGGCGGCAAAGAAGACGCGTTTTACAACAAGTCTGACGCCATGATTTTGTATACAAGTGGAACGACTGCAAATCCAAAAGGTTATATAGGGCTACTCGATATTATATTTTTAAAATGACATAGCATAGTCCTCTGTTATCAAGAGTTGTCAAGAATGTGTTCACAAAAAAAACTAAAGTTTGTCACATTATCATAAAATGATCAAAAATGGTATTGATATGTTTAGAATAATAAAACAACTTTAATGTATCAGCCTCAGCGAAAAACGGAAAAGCTTCTCTTATGTTTATTGGTTCAAATTCGTTAAACGCGCTCTTAGTGACGATGACGTCAGAGCTCGTATTGAGACCTTTCTGCCAGCTAGCAGCAGCACGAACACATCTTTATTGACATTTTTATTTTCTAGTAATTAAATATGTCTTATATCTATTCCTAATTTACATTTATTCATTACTAAAGTCAAGAAACAAAAACAAGATTTTTCTTATGACTATCTGTGTACAAAACTCAGTCCTAAACTTTAATTTGCTGATTTTCAAGTTCCAATACCAATTAGTTGTTTGATTTATTCATTTCTTATCGGTCCTTAGGCATTCATGAAATTGTTGATTTTGGATAGTGTGAGTAATACGCTATGTCAGTTTTTATACCTAGTTAGGAATTGTCTTCAGGGTGTTCCAAAATACATGCCTGAAAGGTTCATATCAACCCAGATCAGGGATTGCTTAGTTTTCAGGATACTGAGTTTTAATACTATATTATGCGACAAGTTTGATAAGCGGCATTTGAGTCACGAGTTTCTTTTGCATGGGCGGAGCGAGTGGTTAATGAAGGAGCGACCCAAAAAGTTTGTCAATGTGTTGCATACTATACTTTTTCTACGACCATTATTTTTGGGTACATGTTTGCAAAACGAATACATTCACTGAGTGATGTGTGAGAATTAACAAAATATTTTTTGTATACCTTGTTAGAGTTGGTCAGTTTTTATTTTTTACAACTCTCCACAGGCGTCGTTTTGTCACACAAAAACTTGTCGGCTCAAGTGGGCGCATTGCTCAATTCTTGGAAGTTTACTCCCGATGACGTTATGCTTCATACGCTACCGCTGCATCACATTCATGGTATCATTAATGCCCTATTATGTCCCTTGTACGCTGGTGCGAAGACCATTATGTTGAAAAAATTCAATGCTAATACCGTGTGGTAAGTGTTTAATAGTCCGCCCATTCTACGAAAAACTACCAGTAATGTAGCGGCCCTCTTTAGTTCTTGACAAGAAACAATCCTTGGATTTTGAAATAATGAAATGTGTACACAGTATTAGTGAATTTATTCTCGGATGGCTGCGGTTCAGAATAAGTGTTTAATAATATTTACCTGTTACCTTTGAACCTTTGGCCACATCATTCTACCTGAATAAGTTACAATAAAGCATTAGCGGTGTCTCAGTTGACAGTTTATGTGGTGTGTGGTTTGTGGAAAATGGCTCAAGAGCAATGTCTTATATATTTATTGTAATGTGGAAAGCCAAATGCAAAACGTGTTGAAACTGTATATACAGCGCATCTCCAATATTAAAGATAGACCTTATTAGACTACTGGAAAATTCACTTGAAAACTGGAAGTTTTTCAAGTGATTTCAAGCTAAATGCATTTTTGATCTCGATAGTCTTGGGAAAATTGTCTTTCTATAAATGTTTTAATTATATTTTCAGCCTAATGAGCAAAATTTTCTATAAAGCTTTTGAATACTGAGATTTGTTTTATCACTAGTGTTTTTTGTGTTTGTTGTACTATATAATTTTATGTTATAATCCAAGAATTCATTTGTTCATTATGAATTTAATAAATTATTGTCATTGTCAGTTTATGGCTTATGTCGCCTAAATTCACTGAATGAAACTTTAAATTATTTATATTTATAATTTCCATTCCTTGTCGCAAGAATTTACTAAAATAGTTCAATAAAGAAATCCATGTTTATTTTTTAATTTAGTAAAACGGTAAACTAAAAAAAATGAGTTCGTTTTTATCTTCTTAACATCACAAAAGAATATCGACGCGACATACATGGTTCTTTTAAAAATGCATTTACCTTGAAATCACTTGAAATAACTGTGAAAATACCCAAATATGAGGTGCTCCAGATGTATTTAACTCTTAACCCATATAAACTTCTTTAGTTCAAAGTTATAATTTATTTAAATCTGAGCGTTTCATTGTGAGGATAAGAAATTTATTTGTCACTTTACCGATTTTGTTAAATAGATAAGTCTATATTATGCCATTCCGTAATTAGGAAGCTGAGTCTATTTGTTCAAGGGCCTGTAAGAAAAATTGTCTTCGTACAAACGTGTTTGTAGTTTAAAGCTCCTCTGCAAAGATTTCTATTTGCATTACCAAAGTTCAAGAGATTAGGTGTAGGTATTATTATTAATTTTATTGGAACTTTAAACTGAGTTATACATCACAAAATACACTTTAGATTGCTATTTAGTTTCAAAACAAGTAGTCCTCTTATATGTTGAAAAGAAAGAAATAATTGTGTCTTGTAGATTGTCTTTTATTTTACCTATTATTATATCGAAGGAATTGTGAAATAACACCGTCAAATTAAACATAAAAACATTAATCAAATAAGAAAAAATTAAGACAGCTGGATTGTAGTGGAAATGTTGGATAGACCAGTAGAAAGGAAGTACCAAAAGCAAAAATTTATGAATAGTCCAATTTAAAATTTTCGATTTTTTTTGATTTTTCGGGAAAGCGGTAAGTTTTATCAAAAAGTATCTCATATGTAAATTATAGACAATAAAATTGCCTACGAAAATGGTAACGTATTTTTCAATTTCTTCTTGAAAATTCGGGCAAGGCTATCCGTGATAATTTGTATACGATGGTAAACACGTCAGCCCTCCTTTTTTACATCCACATTTGGCATTACAACTTTTTTTTTCAATTGCGTCACCTCTTCCGATAATTGTGTCGATCAAAGTTCTCATTTCACGACTAACTATAATAAATTCACGCTATATCTTATGGATGTTGATTCCTAGAAAGAAAAATTATAGGGACCATATTTGTAGATGACTTTATGATCTACAATTTGTATCTGAAATACCGTTTTTCAAGAAAAATTAAAAGAAAAAAACGAAAAATTTCACCTTTGAACTTGAATAACTTTTATTAGACAGGGGGACTTTTGGATACCTTATTTCTACTACGACTATAATTTAAGCGCGTAATTTACTGCATTGCACATACTACTACTAGACTAGACTATACTAGACTTGAGTTAGCTTTCAAAGTTAAGAGTATTCCCTTTAAGGTCATATTTGCTTGGTGTGAGTGCGAGACCTGAGGACCGCCGCATCAGTCTCTTCATGGGCGTGCCGACCATGTATTTTAAATTGATAGACGAGTATGAACGTGTATTCCAGTCCGACGCCAAAATGGCGGAGTATATTAAAAACACTCTTCGTTCTAAGATCAGGCTTATGATTAGCGGGTCTGCGCCATTACCGGCACCGTTGCATCACCGTTGGGAGGATATTACTGGACACAAATTACTTGAAAGGTGCCCGATCCGGCGTCTAATTGTATAGGGCAATATTTATTTGATATTATTCAGGTATGGTTTGACGGAAACTGGTATGGTTTTGTCGAACGCCTACAACTCTGATCGGGAACCGGGATACGTGGGGATACCCTTACCTGGTGTTTTTGTAAAATTGGTAGAGGTTTTGGACAATCAAGAAGACAAATACGGACGGTAAGAATTTGTGGTGTCTTTGTGGTATTTTGGGAAGCAACTTAAAGACTTACTAGTGATCCTATCGGCTAGCAGTCAATTACATATAAGTAATGGTTTGTTAATGTTATGGATTTTACTAGATATTAATTATTATTTTTTGAAAACCAAACCTTTGCCGACATTTTTTTTTAATAGAATTCAGTAATTGCAGTTGCAAATTATTTAATTTATATAATAATTCCGAAATTTAATAGATCGCGTTTCATCCAAAGCTTTACTGTCTATGTCTCTCTCCCCTACATTGTGAACTAGCTATAAAACAAGTTTAGTAATAGCGATCTAACACATTTTTTGATATTTTTTTTGTATTGCATTGAAAATTTGAAAACACTTGGAGCACTTCCAAGCTCCTTTTTGGTTTTGTCTGAACTGCTTTATTACGATAATAAGTACTTAGGGCCTTTACCGAACTGTTAACAACACGTTTGACTATCTTAAATTAAATTAAATTTCAGATTACCTCCATTTTTTTTTAAATTGTGAATGTACCCATGGGTAGATATCACAATAAGTTGGAGGACTCATAATATGCATAATATATAGGGAGTTCAATTTAAAAACGTATTTATTATTGTCACGCCAAAAATTTTCTGAAACTTGGTTTGCCATTACGTAGTGCTAGCCAGAACCAACTGTTATCACAATCAGTATTAAGGGGGATATTTTTTTCTAGTACATTGTTGGAATGTTCAAATTTGGACGGTACATTGACGTTCAGAAAATTGCCTCAGAAAACTGACAAAGGGGAAGATCCGGTTGGCGAATTGTTAGTGAAAGGGGCCGGTATATTTAAAAATTATCACGACCGTCCTGACAGCACGAAAAACTCGTTCACAAGCGACGGCTGGTTTAAGACCGGCGATCTCTGCCAGTATTCGCTTGAAAAAAAGAAATTTAAGATGTTGGGACGCAAAAATGTCGACATAATCAAGAGTGGTGGCCATAAAATCAGCGCCTTGGAAGTAGAAGCGGCATTGTTAGGGGCGCCATTTGTGCGCGATTGTTCGGTCGTCGGGATCGCTGACAAGGAGTGGGGACAAAAGGTGGTTGCGATTGTACAGATTGGGGTGACCAGCAATGGAACACAGCCGGAGCAGGCGGAGCTGGTCGCCTGGGCAGAAGCCAATTTGCCTAAGTATGCAGTACCGAAAGACTGGAGGTAAGTTCTTTTTGTGTTTAATTCTTCACAACCTCCATTCTACCAGGTATAGTGTAAAGTAAGTATTACGGTTCTGGTTATTATTAGTGCCCAAATAATGTGCCACAGGGTGAAGCTATAAGAACTACACACTAGTTCGCCATTTTTTGTATAGGGTGTCAAACTTTAAAAGTAAATCTCCTATTTCCTATATGACCTTATTCCTTCTATATCACCCCTACAAATCATCATCCCCCTAACAAAGTCTGATCTGAACCTTGATTCTGCAACATTAACCCAAAAACAGTTTCTAATATCCATTCCGGTAACCAACATAACGAGAGTACCTTGAAGAAGAAATCTGGTTTATTCCTACAGAAATAAAAATAAAAGAAAACAAGAAAGAATAAGGGATAACATTATGAAAGTTGAGCCTCAGATACTGATATTAGTTTTCAATGGAAGAACCCGGAATTCGAAAAACCAAAAAAAGCACGTCCAGTTCAATCAAATGTCAAGGTTTTGCTTACTGTTTTCTTTGATTGTATTGGCGTAGTACATCGAGTTCTTACCACAAGGTCGTCTAGTCAATGAAGAGTATTACCTTGAAGTTATGCTCCGTTTGCGAGAAGCATTACGAAGAAAACATCTAAAATTGTGGGAAAACAATTCATGGATTTTGCACCACGATAATGCACTTGCTCACTCATCGTTGCTTGTGTCTAACTTTTTGGCTAAAAACAAAACCATAATCATGCCTCGGCCACCACTCTCTGCGACTTTTTCCTGTTCCCAAAACTCAAGAAACTCATGAAAGGAACCAAGTTTGGAACGATTGAGGAGATAAAGAAAAAATCGCTGGAAGAACTCAAGGCTATAGCAGAAAGCTTACCAGAAATGTTTAGAGAATTGGAAAAAACGGCACAATTGAGTTATATCTGGGGGGATTACTTTAAAGAGGCAACATTAGTTTTGATAAATAAATAAAACTTAATAAAAAACTTACTTACTTAACATAAAACTTAAGTCACCCTGCTTTTTGATTACACCTCATATTTAATAAAAAAATAGAGCTTCCCATTAGGAAAAACTGCGAAAGACGTAATTTTCTTCTGGAACAAGAAACGAATGTTACCTACGAAAATTATTAAATAATATAAAAACATACTGGCTATAGTGGGACGACTTAAGCAACAACTTTGTGTTATACTTTCCATAGCCTACTATGCATTAAAAAATATTTAGTAGAAAATTGTTACCTATATTCAGAAGACTTTGGGCCAAAAGTTGCACTGAACAATTTTCTTTTGAACCTCATAAAATTCGAGCGTCAGAAATGGTTGTCGAATTTTATAAAACCCTTACTGGTTTGTTCGGTAGATAGGTAGATAGTGCTTGTAAAAACTCTATCACACCATGCTATAGTTGTTTTATGTTGTTTTATTTTAAAACATCAGCTAAATTTGAAAAATATTTCCGTCAGTTACGTTTACGAGTTACTGATATAAAATTTTAACTTTAAGGTTTCTAACAAAATATCTTCGTATTCTTGTATATGTAACATACATGTGAAGTAGAATATTTTTCTCTTCCAGATTCGTGGATGCCATACCAAAAAATTACATGGGTAAAGTGAACAAGAAGGAAGTCTTGACTCTGGCTTTTGGGCCCGACCATACCTAACTCGATATAGTCAAGTTATGAGAAACACTTTAAAAGACTGTGCGGTATCTATTGTTTTATTCTTTTTTCTAATACGAAGAATGATTTGATTATTTTATAAATATAAAGGAAGAGGCATGGAAAAATGCTTCTATAATTAACTTCCTACTTGGTAGGTTGTGTTTTCTTAGAATGCGAGATGTCATTCATTACAACATCAATAAAGAATCACATGTTACTGGAAGGAAGCTTTGGTTTTTATGTGCTAATTGGTTTTCTTATATGTCAGGAGTCAATGCAATCTTGATATTAGATTTATTTAAATTTTTGTTACCTACCTAGAATAATAGAATAGTTTTACATATGCGAGTTGTTCATTTATTCTCCATAATGTTAATTTTTCTGACCGGTATTTATCTGTAGGCGGTGTAATTGGTATCATCTATAAAAAATGCATATCACTATTAGATAGTGGCACTAAGGACGCGGCCTAGGCAACTGTAATATTTGGGTACAGAAGGGGATGATTCTCAGCACAAAATTTCAAACACGCTTTGCGTCGATTTAATTCGTTTTTCTTCGAACATTTAATGGAATCTACCATTATTGACCAAATAGTAGGAGATTCCACCATAGAATGACCATCACCCATCGTATTACGGGATGAAAAATTTGTTTATATAAAATTTATTATGTTAAAATATTAATTTAATTAACATAATTAAAAAATGATTTTTTTAAACATTACACTCATTCTCTTACGCAATAAACTGTAGACTAATCGAAAGTATGTAGCTTATAGAATATGCAAACACTGGGTTTTCTTCTTCTACCCGTTGCAATTATTAGGTAGGCAGGTATAAACAGGTAAATGGACACTAGTAATTTGCAAGTATCCACTTAAGTGATAAACCTTATATCAAAATAAAGATAATTTTATTTCGTATATGAATAATATAAGGTTGCCTGCAAAAAATTAATGCTGAATCCCGGTTGTCGATTTTTAAAAAAATATTCGTGCGGCTGAATACGTGCGAATGAGACGCAGCGTTGCAGCTGTATGTCGCTCCATCGTCGAAAGAAAGAGAGTACGCATGCTCTTCGTTTGTGAAATTGAGAAAGATAGCGATAGATTATAATAAGTGCTGAGCATTATTTCGGAGCAACTATTGTATCATTATTAGTCAATTTTAATCGAAAAAGCGTGCTGCTACTGCGTGTTGATGTATTTTGATAGTACATATTGTTCCAAATATGGCTAAAAAGTGTTTTCTGTGTGATTTAAATGACTCTGTAATAGATTTTAACGATGAAACTTTTAAAAATCGTTCATTGAAATTGGCTTTTTGAAAATTCAAAAACTTTAAATAAAACGACGTTGAACTAACTAACGCGTCATTTCGTGGTTATCATACCGCGTGTTATAAAAATGACTGTATTGAGCAATAAATATAATGAAGAATTTAATATTTTCGCTACAGAAAATACGGTAAGTACATAATAAATCTTTTAAATTTACATAGTAAACAGATTTTATTTATTTTATTTTTATAATAAAAAATTTAATTATAATTTAAATTAGTTGTAACGAGACAGAATAATTCGTAAAAAATTAGAATTTATGGTTTCATTAAAGTCCGTGACATATAGGGTTTTTACAGGTTTTAAAAAAAAATTGTTCAAAAAAATAACCTGAAAAAGTAGTTTGCCTTGAATAATTTTTCGACATCATTCATAAAGATTTCTTTTAGCTTTATCAATAAAACATTGTATAAAAATTATATATTAAATTCTTTCATTTCATTAAAAATTTTCATTCATATTTTCATATTTTCAATTGCGTGTTGATATTTCTACCGCTGGTGACGCCTCAAAAGGTATTGCTTCTAATGTCGATTCCTGTGCAACAGGTACTGAGAGTGAAGAAAGTCATGCTGATTCCATCGCTGAGATTTCTACAAATGTAGAGGAGGTACTACATATTCTGACGTTTATTTGCTGTCTATTACAGAGTCATTTAAATCACACAGAAAACTATTTTTAGCCATATTTGGAACAATATATGATCAAAAAATGCTACTTACACGCAGTAGCAAGACGTTTTTTCGCATATGAAAATTGCGACTAATAATACAATATTTGCTCCGAAATAATGCTCAGCACTTACTATAGTCTACAGCTATCTTTCTCAATTTCACAAACGAAGAGCATGCGTACTATTTCTTTCGATGTAGGAGCGACACACAGCTACAATGCTGCGTCCTTTTCTATCGCACGGGATACGTTTCTCGGACCTCTTTTCGCACGTATTCAGCCGCACGAATATTTCGTTTTTAAAAATCAACAACCGGGATTCAGCATCAATTTTTTGCAGGCAACCGTATATCATTATATGCGAAATAAAATTATCTTTATTTTGATATATATGCTACATACTTTCGATTAGTCTACTGTTTAATTTTTTAATTATTAATTACACTTTGCATCAATTTTTTTTTTTTATTATTATTTTATATAAAAAAATTTTTCATCCCGTAATACGATGGGCGATGATGGGTGAGTCGTTCTATGGTGGGATCTTAGACTAAAATAATGCCGAAAAAATGCCATATCCACAACTATTTAATTAATGAACTATCAGCTGCTATGTTTATTGTTGAACGCCAAAAGTTATTATTGTCTTGGTTGAAATAATAGATCTAATTGGTGGAAAATCAGCACGCGCATATTGAGTGGCCCATCTGAACATTTGTTCACAGTAGCTTAAAAATTCCTGTATTCTATCACAGCATACACAGGCAACAGAACCCGTGAAGAAGGCATGGGATAGATGAAGGAAAGAAATATGGAAGTGTCGAAATGAAGGAAAAACTGCAGAAATTGTAGTAGTCAAATTTAGTAAATAAAAACAACTGTTTCTTTTTAGTAACTTGGGTTGAATATTCAAAATATTGTTGAATTTAATGTCATTCTCTTTTATTTTCATTTTATCTGACCTGGCCATTCTGCTTATTGTTTTTCTCTCGCCTTTTGTTGCAACGCATTTTTTCAGCATGTGAAGTAGCCTGGTTGGCGGGCGCCTTGTTAAACTTCATTTGATCTTCTGTCTCCGATTCTAGCCTCTGCAGTATATTGCGTGCTTACAACTTCGTTGTGGGGTTTCTCTTTAGATTTTTCAGAATGTTAAAACACAAAACTACAATGGACAAACAAAACTTTTCACACTCCTGGGCAACAGGGGAATGATTTATCCAATGCTTGCTTGCCTCGGACATGAAAAAGGGATGAGGTCGCGGAATGAGTTAAAAACTAGTCCAAATTTGGTATTTACATTTACATTTTCTAACATGTTCATCTTGTTTGTTTTCCTTACTACTTATTTTGGTGTGATACTTTTACGGTTTTATTTGACCGAAGCTACTCAATGAAAAAATTACTTTAAGAGATACAGTATTCAGTATTCAATTCAATGATGTATTATTTATAACACCATCATACACCTACTAGGAATCATTAATAGAACATTCAAACATATATATTTGATATTTTGAATCGGACCAGAGGGTAATAATAAACTTGTGTGTCTTCTATTTATGAGAGAGATTTTGTTAGAAAAAACAGCATCAAAAAACACGATTGCTTTCGAAAAATCGTCACTGGGCGGGGCAAGTTCGTAGCGCGTAGCGCGAAGCAGTTTTTTATTATAAAAGGAGAGAACTTCGCGGCTTCCTGTGGTAAAGGGACGCAACTTTCTCAAAATCGATGTAATTGAATTGTGTATGCACGCTGTATAAAATGTCCTCCACATCTCGTCGAACTTCAAAGTTACAGCAAATATCGGTAAATATCAAAATTTGCACAAATAATAGCGTTGTCGGATAATATTTTTTCAAATATCTCGCGCCCTGTATAATTGACAAAACCTGAAACTCTCACGACACGGTTTACGATATTGTTCAAATAATATTATCGCATTTTTAACGGTTTTTCATTTATCGTCAATAATTTGGCCACAAAAACGGAAATTTTTAGGATATTTTAGATTTTTTGCCCATAAAAGTAGAGGTTATAGCCCTGGATTTTCCTGGTTCAAGATTTTTTTGAATATAGTAAATGGTTTTCGAGAAAATAAGTTTTTCTGAAACCGTGCAGTGCGCCGTAAAAATAAATGGCGTCATGGCGTCTTGACAGCCTCCGAATTCAATATGGATTTTTTCAAATATCCCGAGCAGCGTACGTGATAGACGAAAACTGCGAATATAAAAATTGTAGCTCTTGATGCGGCCTATGACACCCTTTGAACCAATCAGCCAACTTTTTTACGATTTTTGATTTGTGGCTAATAATTTACTCTGTAAAAGGACAATTTTCTAGATCTTTTAGATTTGTGTGTATAATTTGAAACCCTGTATATAATCGAAAAAATGCCTAAAATAAATGTTATTGCACTGTATCTTCTGCGTCTGCCGGTTAAAGAATTTTGCCGATCGGATGAATGATTATGGAGGAAAACATATTTTTCTGGAAACTAAAATTACCAAAAAACAAAAAAAAAATCAAATATATTAAACAGTTTTTGAAAAATGATTTTTTTGTAGATCCTTACACGCACGAATTTTTTATTTTTTTTAGAATACTTCGCGATCTCCCAGCCTCCCCATTTTCAATAGGTTCCGTCACGGGGCAAAGCTGCATATATGTGCCGAATATGAAGTCGATTGCTTCAAATTTCGGATACTTAACGTGTTTCATAGCAAGGTCCAAAAAACAGTCGAAAATCGCGAAAAAAAGATGGATACCGGTGTCGGATCAGGGCCATTTCTTACAAGCTTATGTGCCTCGTGGAGGGTTAAAAAGGAGGCAAATTTCAATTTTGTAGATCCAACGGTTCGAAAGTTATTCAGGAAAAACCAAAAGACGAGAACGGAGAACGGACAAAGACAAAAAAAAATTGATATTTTCTGTACCAACGGCGATCCCGTAGGACTTACCTTTACCGAGATATAAAATTTTTATGCGAGCGCAGATACTTTCGAAAATTCGATTCTTGTTTGTGTTTGGTGCCTTTAATGCCTTGCCTGCTGCTATTGCTGCTGTGCTATACCACAACCATATATAGTTGGTTTTCTTCTTGGTTTATATATGGTACTGGGAAAGGAAGAAAAACTTTGAGCAGTTCAGTGTACATAGGTTTTTGGAATAAATAAAACTCATTCAAAACGCGAAAACGCAAACTGATAATAGCCTGCAACCCAGTGGTTCAATTTATTATAAATGGTGATTCTTCTAGCAGCTCATTCCAAACAACGAATCTTCTCGCTTCCGGTGTATCCACAAAAGTCAAATTTTCACCTATATCGAGTTGTTTGATTGGGTCCACGCTTTCGACAGGTTGCCATAAGACGTTCAACTCGTCATCTGGTGTTGGGTTCTTGTACTTAACGAAATTCGTCCATAATTTGACGATTCTTCTGCGGTATATATCCTCGGGACTGCCCGGTGACACTTTCGGAGTTATCGATTGACTGAATAAATAACCCAGCTCGTCCGAATGGAAAACACCTAAAGTGTGTAAGTATTTTATAGTACTATGACTATGACTACTTGGAAATATCTGCATTATACCAAAGATGATATTTAGGGATAAGCCAATCTATGCAATCGTATATGTGCACAGAATGGCCCAATTGTCTGGCAAAGTACAACACTTCTTTTATTAAGCATCATTTTGAAACATTATTATTATTATTATTATTATTATTATTATTATTATTATTATTATTATTATATAGCATTTATTGTCATAAGATGCAAATTCAATGTTATAAGACATGTCCAATATATCCCAAGAATAACCTCGCAGATGGAAAAAAGACCATACATACTACATACATACATACAAACGAACGGATGATATCGCGAAATATATTTATTTATTTATCTGGTGTGTCTGTTGGCATCCGTACATAATTCATACAAGGCACGAGAATTATGCATGCAAATTTGAGGTGCTAGATCAATGTTCTAATGTTCCATCTGTAAGGTTGTGGACCTTGGACGACTGAGTTAGATGAAATATACAGGTATATGATGCTGGAGATTCTTCACCCATTGAGTTGCTGATTGGCGCAGATGTAGTGGGAAAACTTTATACGGGCAACCGTCGTAGTTTAAAAAGGTGGTTTAGTTGCCATTGAAACACTATTAGGCTGGACACCTATGGGGAAAGTTTTCAATATCGGGGCGATAGAGAAAGACGTCAGTTCTGCAGTAACTACCTTGTCAATGTTGTTGGATGATTCTTTTATAACCAATTTATGGGAACTTGATACATTAGGTATTACTGAGCCATCAGAGAGAAAATCGGGGCAGGAAAGGTCTGCTGCAGCTATATAATTCTTTGAGGAAACTGTAACACGGGATGTCAAAGGTCGGTTCAAAGTTTGTCTGCCATGGATAGAAGGTCACCGTCCTTTACCTCCAAATTTGAAGATTGCCAAAAAGAGGTTACAATCAACCTTGAGGAAGAAAGACAAAAGATAAGCTTGTGGAATCCTATAGTGCTGTTTTCCAGGATTGGTTGTCGCAAGTTATCATCGAACTAGTGAATAATGAATTTGGTCTCGGAGAGATCGGCCATTATCTCCCTCACCGGCCAGTTATTAAAGAGGATTCTGCCACAAAAAAAATCCGTTTGACGCATCAGCGAGGGAAAGTGACGCCCCTTCTCTAAATCATTGTCTCGAAAAGGGAGAATAGAATTGATACCATTCATTCTTTTAAGATTTCGAGAATATCCCATCGGAGTTGTGACGGATATTAGGAAGGCGTTTTTCCAGATAGGCATTCATGAAAAAGACCGTGATTTTCTAAGGTTTCTGTGGATCAACTCCGATCAGAATCTTATTGTGTATCATCGCAGACGAGTCGTCTTCGGAGTAAACAGTAGTCCCTTTTTTGTTGGGGGCAACCATTGAACATCATCTTACTGATCGTTTAAGAAAAGCGCAGAGCGGATATACCAAGTATTCTTCCGATACAATTGAAAGGTTGCGTCGAGGATTTTATGTTGAAAACTGCGTTGTGAGTGTTCCCCATAAAAACGATTTATTGCGCTTTATAAGATTGCAACCAGACAGCTGTTGTGCCATTGCTAGGACTTAATTGGCATTTGGCCAGAGATGTAATTAAAATTAGCGACGGATGCTTGAAGAGTAACTTAGACTTTGATAACATGAGTATAAGCTAAAGATTGATACTTTCCACGGCGCAGAGGGTATTCGATGTGATCAGCTTCACCAATTCTACGACCTTGGTGGCAAAGTTACTACTTTAAAAGCTATGGGAAAAGAAAATGACCTGAGATGAGCCAGTTGACGCTGACACCGAGCGACATTTTCGAGAATGGTGTAAAGGATTATCGCTTTTGAAAAAGAAATTCCGCGTTGGATGGGTACAGGTACTGAAAACATAGAACACATCAGTTTGCATGTTTTCAGTGAAGCCAGTAAAATTGTATTTTCCGCAGTTATATTTCTCCGTATTGTCAGGAATGGTATACCAACTGTCCATATTGTAACAGCCAAAGCAAGAGTGGCTCCGATCCGGAAGTTGACGATGCCGAGACTCGAATTATTAGGAGCAGTAATTGGTGCTCGATTGTACGGCGACGTGAGGAACAACCTGCAAAGCGATGCAAAATCGTACTTTTGGACCGACTCATCTACAGTCCTATCATGGATTCTATAACAAGAAGAGTGGGGAAATATTTGTCTTTAACAGAGTGTCAGAAATTGGATCATTAACCTTCTCATGCTCTTGGCGGCACGTGCCAGGTGATCTAAACCCGGCTGACCTACCTTCTAGAGGTTGTTCCCCGAAGCAACTTGTTGAGTCAAAATGGTGGGAGGGTCCAAGGTTGTTATACAATGAACCAAATATGTGGCCTGACCAAAAGGATTTCTGGCATTTATCTTATTTTTTAAGCTACTTGAAAATCGTTAGGATGATGAGCTGGATCTTGCGATTCATCCATAATTCGAGAAACCCAATCAAAAGGCAGTGGGGGATCTGCTTGTCGAAGAAATTCAGAGAGGAGAGAAGTTTATTTTCAAAATCGTTCAGAGTTTTATGGGGGTAGATGATATAAAGATAAAGCACCTTTCCCTTTTTCTTGATGAGAATGGAATAATACATTTGGAAAGCAGAATATCCAATAGAGAAGAGAGCGAAGACTTTAGATCTCCTATTATGTTGCCTCCAAAATACCCTGTTACGGAGAAGTTGATCCCGAAGGGTCATGTGGAGTCTTCCCACATTGGCATTCAGGGGATTACGAGCAAGCTTCGCGAGAGGTACTGGACAACAGGAGGGAGACGTGCCTTGTTATCTACGCTTTCAAGATGTTACGTTTGCAAAAGATTTAATTCGAAACCCATACGGGTGAGTGCCCATCAGTTGCCATTGGCCAGAGTACACAATGGTTGTGTATTCGAAATTATTGGAGTCGAAATGCCTAATATGGATATCTAAAGAATGGTCAAAAGGTTTGGATTTGTGTTTTTACCTGTGTTGTGTATCAAGCGGTCCATCTCGAACTCGTAACATCCATGTTTACGCATTCTTTCCATCAAGCTTTGCGAAGATTTACAAACCATATGCAACGACAATGGGATCAACTTTGTGGGCGCCGAAAATATATTGTCTCAACTAAACTGTCAGGAAGTTATGAAATTTCCATCTACCCAGAGAATCGTTTGGCATTTTAATTCTCCAATCGCCCTATGGTGGAGAGGTTTTTGGGAAAGATTAGTTGGAGTTCTAAAGCAGTTATTGCGCAAAGTTTTGGGACGTGCCAGTCTCGATTACGAAGACTTGTTAACGGTCATCTGCGATTGCGAAACGGACATTAATTATACACCGCTCACCTATGTTTCCAGTGATCCGCACGAGTTAAGTGCGCTAACCAGAGCAATGTTTTTGATAGATCAACTCGAACATGGTTTGCCAGATTATGACGTTTTTGAGCGCCTTTCACTTTGTCGGAAGCAACGGTACAAACAGAAATTAAAAGATGATCTACGACAAAGTTTCCGAAATGAATATTTAGGACAGTTGCGCGTCTTTTATAGGGGGAACCACGTGGTTCGTTAAAATTGGATGACGTAGTCTTAGTCGCGAACGACCAAGATAAACACATTGACCGGCCACTTGGGCGCGTCGTCGAACTAATTCCGGGTAAAGATCTCTAGGGGCTAACTGTTGAGACGTGTGCAACGTCTCTGCGCACTCGAATGTGTTGATTCAGCAGTGCAAGAGGATGGCTCAGAAGAGGCAGTCGAAGCTAAAGAAGACTCTCTTCCCCCCAACGAAAGTGAAAGTGCGGGAGTGCCTACAAAAAGCGGAGTATGGTTACGCGTAGTGGTCGTGAGACAAAACCCTCCATAATGATTATCGCAAGGTGGGAGGATGTTGGAGACGCACGAAAAGAAATCCGCCGATTTTTATCCTATCCTGCGGTCTTAGCCGGCCCGATTATATGTGCGAAAATCGGTGCTATTTTTAGATTTTAATAAGGGTTTTGTTTTTTGCTGCCGATTTGTTCGGAGGGAACTTTGGTGGCGTTTTCGATTGTTTTAACAAGTAATCGTGCATTAGATTTTGATGAGGCGCGATATGTTGCATTTTGTCAGGCGTATTATTTGTATTTTCACTAACATAGTCATTAACGAAAGTTAATTTGTATTATTATTCGAACCTAGTTACGCGGATAAGACCGGGCAGGTTTTTCGTAAGCGTGACGCGACATCTACCAAAAATAATTTTTGTTCTCTGGAGTTTGGTCAGTACTTACCTGGTTTGTCCCACAGGTTCAAGGATCTTTTCAAATAATTTAAGCGTGTAATCACCGAGATTCGATACGCGTAAATAGGCGCCAGGTGAGTTTTTAAATGGAACTTTATCGCCTGTTCGATTCCAACATCATAAATGCTGTCAGACCAAGCCTACAAACAAGGAATATAACGCTATTCCATAAAATATACTTTTATCGGGCAACCATAAAAAAAATCCAAATAAAAGGCAAAACAACACGAATACATAACTGTCAGAAAACATCCGATTGCTCCCAAACCCGTGCGGTAAAATCCCGGAAATGTCCGAAGTGACTCGGATTCGTGGGAAACGAAACTGACGTGGTAAAGTGATGCTTCCCGCACGCTAGATCGGTGCGTAATTAGATATTTTACAGACGGGAGTAGAAAAGCTTTTTAACTCACTCGTTTATTAAACACTTGCTCCGCTCGTGTCAAATAAACCCGTGAGTCAAATGCCGTTTACCGCACTTGTTGCATAATATACTATTCACTAAGTATTCTTCAAAAAATTCTAATGTTCGTTTCAAAATGTAGTCGTGTATAGTCGTCTGATAGAATTGTCGCCCTGGTGGTCTAATAAAAATCCCAATTTTAACCAAAATTAATGTGTCGTTCTTTTCACCAAGCCATGAGTGCTGAAAGTCAATAGTTACGCTTACAACAACGCCAATATGTTTGGTAAACAACAAAACAGTGCCTCATGTCGCAGTACATTGAGATCCCCTGGGCTTACCCCCCTTGATGAGTCCCTATAGGGCTACTTGAAATAAAAAGTATATCTGGAAGGCACGTTTCAAAAGTGCATGATAACCTTCATGGTTTTTATGATCACAACAGATAAATGTTCATTAAAAATTAAAACAATATTAAATAAGCACAAAATCCATTTTTCGACGTACAAGTTTCCCATATGGTTCCAACTTAATATAAATAAATACAAGATATAATATGACGTTAAACCTACGATGTTGTGCATTCGGTGCAAAAAAATGATTAAACTTACATTAACCACATTTTCCTCCGGCGTTTCTGTTTGGTACGTCCGCTCCAAAGTGTCTGCAAACCGTTTACTTTTCGCGGTGCCCTTTTTAATGCCCGTCTGCCAGGGTATTATGCACTCCCAACTAAAGGGCGCCACCCAAGTACCCATCGCCTTCGCTGCCATTTGCTGATAATTCATCCAATGCCCCTCTTTTGAATTGTATCCCAGTATTAACGGGACTTGGTTCTGTTCACCAGCGTTTAATATGTCGATTGGAGATTTTGTTAAAAAGGCGCCTTCGTGGGGATACTCGATAACGGGCGAAATATCTTGCCAGTCGTTTGAGCATTCAGTCTGCAAAAATAAAAAATATAAGTGCATCGTTTGCCAAAATTAGGCCTGTAGTCTAAAATGTGTTTACAATGAAGAAACAACTGTTGATACAAAGCAACTGCCAATGAAATTAAAGGCAATCAAGTCAATGCTTTCCCTATTGGGGAACCACGAGAAAATGCGAAAAGCGGTTACCGCCGAACACCTATACAGGGTAGCTCACTATAAAGTTGCATGTGTGAATACAGCCTTTCCTATATTTAATCCCAATAGTTTTTTTGGAATTTGTAAAAATTTTGAGTACTTTCAACCTGGCAATCGGTACGGTAAATAGCAACCAGAATCGTCTTTTTGAAATTGACATTGAGAAATGATTTAATTAATTAATTAAAACCGGAAGTTGTCATTGATTTTGAAGTGATTTGAATGATTTGGTTTGATGTTGAATTTGATATGACTTTGGAAGGGACCGGTTAGATCAGCTAATTTAAGGGCCTTAGATTTTCACGTCTGGTGCCATAAATTTAAAAATTATTGGCAATACATCTTGTCACTATTTTTGACGGTTGCTTATGCCTTACGCGGAAGTATAAAAATGGCAACTAACAATTTGATAATCGATTTATCTCAGACTAAAATTTTTGCTTTTTTAAATATGCATTCATCTACAATGTTTTTCCTCATACCTATTTTCAAAGATTTTGTTTTGAAACATAAACATGACAAAAAGCAGAACTTCCGTTAGCTCATTGAATTGAATTTAGAATGCAATAATCAATGATAGAAAATACATAAAAAATTGGAACACAAGAAACGGATATTACACAATCAAGATAGACGACATCATTACGATCATTGCCTCTATATGAAAATTTTTTTCGTCAGTATCTCTGCGTAACGTAGCTTCGATATGCGTATAAACCTAAATTGGTTTCAATAATTCCGTACTAGTTTGTACAGGCCTCGATCCAAGGATTTCAAATCGGGTAACCTGAATGGTCAGTTCCAGAGTTTCTTAACTCCTTTGGAGTAAATAGAATCAAAATGATGTTAAACTTGGTCAAATTTCAAGCTAACTAGACTGAACTTTGGGTTTCATTGACTTTTAATAGAAAATACGAAATAACAAGAAAACTTTTGAAAAGAGTTATAGGTATATATGAAAAAATAAAATAAAATAATATGTAATAAGTGTGGTAAACGGCATTTGAGTCACGAATTTATTTGGCACCAGCGGAGCGAAATTCATAAATTCAGACGAATTTATTAAATAAATAATTAATTAATAAAAGGTGTAATGAAGTTGTTTTATCATTTTTTCCAATATTTTTGACGCGATTTTGGGCGATGGTTTAACAAGACCACATTTCCAGTTGGAACATATGGCAATTGGACTTACAATTCCCATTTGCTCTAAGACTCTAACAAGCTCATATGCGGATAGAGATTTCAGTACGTCCAGTGCTTCTTTTTGCGTCTTTGCTTTCACCCCGATTTTGTTCACGACGCTAATGGCGCCATCCAGTTTTCCCCAAGGCCAGGAGTTCAAAGTGGAGCCACTTTGTATGATAGCTCCGTGGAACAAACCTCTGCAGGATGGAGATATGACGTGAAAGTGTACGGACGATCCTCCGGCACTTTCACCATCTATGGTCACACGGTTTGGGTCACCACCAAACCTTCGGATATTGTCCTGGACCCATCGAAGGGCTAGGCGTTGATCTTTCAGTCCAGCGTTGCCAGGAATCTCCAAAGTTGGGTCGCTGAAACTTAAATATCCTGAAACGACATAGAAACAAAGTTTGAACGATATGGTCAGCTATGTTCCGTAAATTATCCGCCGTGAAGCAACATAAATAATATAAATGAAAATCAGATTTCATATGTTGAGACGGACTTGAAAGTAAAACTTAACTTTCGAAAAATGTTGATAGTTTTAAAACGGGTAAAGATAATAAATTCATTGACAAAAGTGATGAATTATTATAGCACAGAACAATTTATGAAATTCGTTGAATATGTATTAGATTGGACCAAAAAAATCGACTATTTTATTTTATGAATAATATATCTAATAAAATCATTCAGAATAATGTAAAAAAATATCATGAAAGTTTGAGAGTTTGAGGGAGGAAAGTTATAAATAGATACGAATACGATACAAAAAACGAAAAAACAAGGATTTCATTTTTTCTTCAATCGTGAATAACTTTGCAAAAAATTATTAAGAAGCCTTTTCTGTAGAGTATAAAATTTCCTTTAAAAACCAATATAGTTCTTTTGTTGTATATTGAGAGCTGTTTGTTAGTTATATAAGTTACGGAATTCTAAAATGAAAAAGTTTAATAAAAAAAGTAAACTTTGATTTCTCGGGAACTGTTTGTCTGATAAAAATTTTCAATCAGAGCTTTTTTATACAGAATTTAATTTCCTACAAACATATATTCATACAAATATTTTTACCGATATAATGAGATCAGGAGAAGAAAATTCAAAATACAATACATTAATATTATGGGCTAAAACTTTCAAGATATTTTCTTTTTGTCGTTCTGAATGATTTTATATTTTTCTTGAAACAAAATAGTCGATTTTTTTGACCCACTCTATTTTAATATGCATTAATTTTATTTATCTAATTACAAACCGACTTTTGCAGTGGAACCATTACAACCAACATCAATATCAAATATTATGAGTTAAGAGGTTCGTTAACTTGGGCAGTTCTTCCTACCAACTGAATGTATTTCCAGGTTTAGAAAAAAAGAAAATCGGTTTACTTTCTCCTGCAGTTTTTCTGCTCTGTTCAGTCACTTAGTTTTAATTTGTTTGAGTTTGTGTCAGTCATAATCATCTTAATTTTGTAATAAACAACTTTATTTATTTATATCCACATTTTATAATGTTTCTGCACTTTAAATATTGACGCCTGTTTTTTTTAAACCTAGAACGTTTTGGTAACTGTCTAATATCCCAATTTAATCAACCTTGTAAAAATTAAAATACAAGGTAAAATGGCTAAATAATGATTGCATTTTAAAAAGTCGGCATCATACTTAAAAAATATTTGTTATTAAATCTGTCACATTTCTTTTTAATTTGGGTGCTTAGGTTTTAGGTTAGGTTTAGACTGCTCTATTAAACTAATAAAATATTTTGGTCAATGAACCATTCTTTCTTCTGAGAATAATACATGGCGACAGCGTTATCCTCAATGACACAATATTTATTTGATTACATTTCTAGATTCACTGCTTTCTTCTGATTATTTTTGCTTAAAACTTCAAAATATGAGACTTATTGCAAATATTTCGAAAACCAATCTATATAATTTTAAAGGAAATTTTATTATATTATTAATATTTCGAAAACCACGCCAGATAGGTTAGAGAAAATATTAAAAACAAATAGAAAAAAGCAGTGACTTTAAAAATGTCATCTAGTATAGAGTATGCCATTTAAAATAACGTTATTGTTAGAAGCGGCAACATTGCGTACTCCAAAATATTTTCTCCGCAAACATCGAATCTACCATCGACCATCCGGTATAGCAGTTTGTGTTTTAGCAATAATATAATATAATTTACTTTTTATTACTTATTTTGTATTTAGTTAGAACACCTAGGATCACTAAACTATTCATTCAACACAACTACATCACTTCTAGAATTTTCATTAATATAAAGCTGATGAATCCAATTTTCGTCATTATTGATGTGATGTTTTACCTACCTAATATGCCGAGCCTGTAATTTAAAGTAACCAGGACAATGTCTTCCGTCATGAGATTCTTTGGTCCGTATTTTGCCCGACCACCATTTCCAAAAACATATCCTCCTCCGTGAATGTATACAAGCACCGGTTTAAGCTTCATGGTAGCAGAGTTTCTGGGCAACTATAGGTACGCTATTTTATTACTCTATTTGTCCAATTTGTAAGTGCCATTTTGAATGACGCTGACATTCATGTTAATGATATTTAGATTATGATGCATTTTAAAATTTGGTTTAAGTTTCACCAGAGATCAATAAAATGTAATTGCAGAGATTTGAGGTCTTGGAAATAGTAGCGTTCCTCTAGAATTGTTTAAGTGTGATTTCATATTAGTGAATAACTTAAGACACTTTGGTTTTACTCCCCTGTCTAAGTTCCAATGAAAGTAGTTTTGGTTAGTTTCCGTGAAAGGTTTAACTCTTACCTCGGCGGTATAAACATTTAAAAATAAGCAGTCCTCGTCTCCTACCAGGGGCACACTTTGATTAAATCGCTTTTCCCTTCGGTGAGGACAGGCTGATCCTTCCTCAGTGGCATTTCTGATTCCTTTCCATGGGTGTTTCGGTTTTGGAGCCTGACACGACCGAGTAATATATATAATTATATTTTGTAGAAAAGAAATGTATTACTGTAGCAATAACTAGAAATATAATTATAGAGAAATATCGGAAAAATATCAGTAATCTTTGATAAAAATGCGTTCCTACCATGTTAGATATTTTGTCAAGAATGAAAAATAAAAGAAACAAGGTTCACGAAACTATTTGGCCTAAATTTTATAAGTTCTTATTTCTCTTATTATATTTTTTATTGTCAATTAAAATTAAAAACTGGGTTACTTACTTACGGTCATTTTTTACTTAAAATTTTAAGACGATATTCGTACATCGGGAATATTTATGCTGCTGGATTGCCGTTTTTATTTATAAAATTTATGTACAGAATGAGACATTTACTTATAAATTAATTTCTAGGAAAATATGAAAAAATTTGGATAGGTGTGATTTAGAATGAATAATATTTACATGCAAACTTAAATTAATTTTACTGATTTTAAACAATTTTTATATAACGAATTCATAAAAACTTAGAAGTATACTTTAGATATGTTTGATTCTATGTCATTTATGTACTGAATATGAACAAAAAAACGCACGTCACGATACCTTAAATCGGAGATCTCCAACCGGGGGCTCTGCGTATGGAATCCCCATAAACTGATAAAATTTACCTCCATCTATATTTCTATCAATTGATCCCTTCAAACAGCCACTTTTTGTCCTTACGACTGGGTTGCACGCGACATTTTTCAGCGCTGCACAAAGCATTATTACAGACTTAGATCAGTAAGTACTTGCTTATATTTTACGATACCAATGATTAAATCCAATTCTATTCAATAATTTGGACTAATTTATGAACGACACCTCCGTATATCCAGCCGATTATAATTTACAACAGAACAGGAGAAGGTATAAATTTAAGAGATTCAGGGTATTAAAATTAAATGTTCAGGTAATTTACTATCCAGAGGATCAAATCACAAATAGAAGACACAGGTGAAGTTTTCCTGATAAATTGCTTACAGCTTTGGTTCGCATTGCCCGAATAAATTAGGAATTACCAAAACCAGACGCTGTAGTAAGAATTTGCTACACGGATGAATTTGACCGCGCAGCTCCGAAAATCGTTCGTATATCCCAATATACTTTACTGTACGACTTACAATGTTTTCGTTTTTCTTAGACCGTTTCGGTTTGGTTAGTTTCTGTTTTAGTTGATATAGTGCTTCAGATTATATTGCTTAATGTCAGGAAATGTAAGTCAGGAGAAGAGAACATAAAGTAAAAACTCTATATGAAATGGATAACCAATTGTGGTAATTATAATAAATAACAACTATCTTATTTTCCAGATTCAGGATGAATAAGTCTACAAAAAATGGGTTGTTATTAAATAATCAGAAATCCATAAGCTAATTGTGCCAAAAGCACGCCCAGTTTTATGAAAATTAATGAATTTGGAAATGAAATGATGAAAAAAATGACAAAATGAAAAGTTGAATAGTTACTGAAAAATCGATTTCTTCAAAAAGGAACTAGCAGAAGACTCCCAATTTTAATTTGATTATTAAATTTTAAAGACATTACGGGCTTGCCATAATTTCAGCTATAAATAGCAATTAGATCAATCCATCCTATGCCACTGAAATGAATTATGAGACAGGAAATAGCAATATGTATTTTGCGAGGTTTATTATTTAAAAATTTAAAATAGAATTTTCTTTTTCAAATTTTCGTGTTACATTTATGTGCTTTATATTTATAGATAAAGAATGCCAAAATACAAATCACCAAATTAAAAATTTTCGTTACTGCATGAAGATACTTTATTTATATAATCACATTTATGTATTTTATTTATAAAATAGCTAGCTGAGTTATTATTTATTTATAACACAAAATCAGGTTCAACTTGCACAAGAAAATAAACTTATTAGCGAACACCCTTTATCTGCGTTTTATGAAAGATTTCTAATAATGCAAGATCAACTGACGTTTGGTTTATTTTTTTCGCTGTACTTTTTTTAAAATCAGAATTATTAAACTAATATTGTATTTAAATCTTTGGTCTTATTTGCCACATAATACATTACTGCAAAAGAATTGACCAGTTATCAATTTAAATTATTAGTAGTTATTCTCCATTTACAGGATTGACACCGTCAAAAATAGAAAAATATGTGGCCAATTTCGATAGTTAATAATTTTTTTATTTTTTTCCGATTTTTATGATTTTTTGCTATCAGTATATAAATGAATTTTTCTGTGATTATTCCAGAATGTCACTTTCTTCGACTAGGCTATATTATACTGTTGGTTTTAGTCGTAAATTCAAATGTTTCTTCTAATCTTTAATATATTCTAAACATTTCGTTTTTTGATTCATTCGATTGACTTATTGCTGTTGCGAGCTGCAATTTTTTTAGTGATTTTAGACGATTTTAGACGCACAGCAATAAAATTAGATCTCTTAAAGAGCTAACGACAACAAAAAAACCGTCAGTTGCAGTTAAAGTTTCCGTCCGTAAATACTTATTCGAGGCATCTCAAACCGTAAACTACGGAATTCTCAAAGCACGGGCGACAAACTTTTGTTACGGCCACCCTGTAGAAACGCAACAATTCTTTCCACGTGTTCTAGAGTTCCAATTTGACACACAATAAATTATAATATATCAAGCATTCTGTTACAATAATCGTGTAAAACGAAATGTTCAAAATACTTCAAAGATTACAAGAAACAATTCAGGTGGAAAATTATCCAAGTAAATTTTCCTACCGGGGGTTTTGAAATTACGATAAAAAAATAAAAAATATACAATAAACGGACAAAACAAACGGATACCAAAATCGTGAAGAGCGCACAAAAAATAAAAAGACCTATAGAATATTAACATTTCATTTTCACAAAGTGTCTATTAACAAATTATTTAAACTCAAATAATATAAACCTCAATAATATAAAACAATCTCTTATGACACTTATCTGCTATTAGAATAACATGAATAACAAAGAAAAGCATTTCCTCAATTGCAGTTTATGTGAAGTTAAGTGAAGCGTTATTTACTTACCAAAATTTAACAAGAGCAGGATCGAACAGGTTGATTGTGAAATGAAATAAAGGTTGAACCTAAAACAAAATCAAATCTTCAGGTCATATGTGCGATCGGTATTTATTGTCAATCTATTCTACTTCTGGCATAAAATTTTTGAATTATTTCCGAACATGAATATTTTGCAAGATGTACTTACATCTCCCAGTCAATGACTAAAGAAATGTTGTACGAGCTAGAAACTAATTCAAGATAAATTTTCCAACTCGATGTTCCAGAAATTAGGAATTTTTATGTTCTGCTATACGAAAAATAGCGCATTTTTATACTTCATTACGATTCCGATAATTTTTTAGCCCAGTCCACTGATAACGTCGAATAAGCGGCTTTTTGCATCGCAAATGAAATGCAATGAGTATCTTTCTAATCCTCATATTTCAAACTTATGACGAAAAGATAACGCTACTTTGCGATTACTTAATTAACCGGGCTTGTTTTCCTTTGGTAAGTTGTTAATATTGCTAATATGGTACCATAGAGAAGAATACATGTATTTTTCAAACAAAAAAGAATATGTGTGAATTGGCACACTAAAGCAGATATTTTTTTTTTAGTACTTGCCCCAAAATTAAAAAATTAATCGACTTACTTGGAAGATTTTCCGAACTTGTACGTAGATACAATTACACATTGTAGTATTCGTTCAGCATGTTCTCGATCACGACGTTTAAAGCGGAAAACGAGTTTTTTTTTCGCTTTTTGTCTCTGCCTCTAGGGTAAACTGGGTAAAGGGTGGATTTGTAATTGTATCTACGGACAAGCTCGGAAAATTAATATTAATCTTCCAGGTAAGTCATCAATTTTGACACCTCCTCTTAAAGCAGCCGAAGTTGCTCCATAACGGCTGCTTTGGCCGGAAAATAAAATTTTTCTCTAAATAGATCTGTTGTGAGCTAGGCACAGTTCTACCATTTTGTGAAGGTAAGGGAATTTCAGAAGCGGATTAGTTTTATTTGGAGCTGATGCTTTAATCTTGTCTAATTCAAATTTATATTTTCCCGACCACAGTACATTTTCCATTTTTAGTGCCATTAAGGTATGTACTCTACCTGCGGATCAGATTGACAGTAAAAAGACTAGTTTTCTGCCACCAGGAAAAGTTCCCCAGCTAGTGAGTGGCTGGTCCCGAATGGGTATAGTATTAGATTGAAATTAGGTTCAAAAAAGATGATATTTTCTAGCAACGGTCTTTTAAAAATAGAGTACCACGGTTGAGAAGGCCAATTTGGTACCAAGCGTTTTGCCTTGATTAGATTTATCCAACCCTTGAGTAGCGCAAAGAAAAAGGTAGGAAGGCGTAAAAGTAAAATTTGTTCCACTGAATAGTGAAAGAGTCTACTGCCAAAGAATTTGGATCGGGAAACCAGGAAATATACCTTTTGCACTTATTGCTTATTTTGGTTTGTATTCGGTATCGAGTGATAATAATCTAGTCTCGCGTTATAATTCATTTATATTATCAAAATACCAGTGACAACACAACAAGGTATAGAAATTTTACCCTACGAAAAATTTGCGAGCGCAGAAATGCCACAAGCACTAGTAAAACTAGTTGATTCATTTGCTCACACTATAATTACTAAAAATTTCATAAACCCTTAGATATTGGGTTAATAAATGAAAATGAAGTAAATTTTATTGATAAACCAGAAACAGAAAATTTAGCCCCGCTTAATTTCGATAACAAAAACAAAATCTGTAATAAGGATGAGTATGAAGTCATTCGAGAATTATGTTACGAATATAGGGATATACTTTATTGCAAAGGCATACAAACTTAATTAAACGTTAAATTAATTTAGTTAACGACACACCAATCTACACACGAAATTATCCATACCCTGAAATCCATAAAGCTGAAGTACATAAACAAGTAAATGAAATGCTAAAAAATGATACAACATTCAAATTCCCCGTGGAGACTGGTGGACCGGTGTGACCGGGTTGAGCTGGAGGCCCCTTTAGAGCCAGCTCAGCATGCGTACCGAAGTGGCGGGTCTGTGGGCTCGGCTCTTCACCATCTGACTTCCAGGTTGGAGCAGGGTTTGGGCTCGGGACGGCTGTTGGTGTGCGTGTTCGCTGACATCGAAAGGGCCTTCAATAACACGGCCCTGTACTCGATCTGCAGGGCGGTGGAGAGTACTGGAGTGGGGACGGCCATTGTAAGGTGGATCCGCTCCATGCTAACCGACAGGAGGGTCGAGGCAAGACTGGGTGGGGAGCAGGTCTCCATCGGTTCATCACGGGGTTGTCCACAGGGCGGGGTCTTGTCCCCGTTCCTGTGGTGCCTGGTGGTGAACGAGATATTGCATATTCTGAGGGAAGAACACGGGGTCTATGCTCAGGCATATGCAGACGACCTTGTGATTATGACGCAGGGGACGGACGTGAGGAGGATGGAGGGGCTCCTGAACGGGGCATTGGCAAGATTCTCACAATGGTGCCTGGACAGCAAGTTGGCTGTCAATCCTAGCAAGGTGGAGATGGTCATCTTCACTAGGAAAAGGAAGATGGAGTGCAACCTCAACATTTCGATGGATGGGGTGCCTCTTTCTGCAAGCGGAAGTGTCAAGTACTTGGGCGTATGGTTGGACTCTAAGTTGACCTTCCAGGAACATATAAGATCAAGGACCAGGTCGGCCTTTGGAGCTCTGTGGGCGTGCCGGAGAGCGGTAGGGGGCACTTGGGGCTTGGGGCCGAAGATCATGCAGTGGATCTACGGTACCATGGTGGTGCCTATGCTCACGCATGGGGCAGTGGCATGGTGGCCGGGGACCAAAAGAGCGGGAGCAAGGCTAGTTCTTGACAGACTGCAGAGATTGGCTTGCCTCTGCATAACGGGCGCCATGAGAACGGCGCCCACGAGGGCCCTGGAGGCTCTGGTGGGGCTGCCCTCTCTGGCGGATCGGGTGCAGATGGAGGCGGCCAGGACAGCTGTGAGGCTGGCGAGCTGCGGGCTCTGGAGGGAGGGAATCTTAAATCGGGGTCCGTACGACATTTTAGAGGGCCGTCGCGGGGATCGCGGGGTCATGGGCATCCCCGAGATGACCTTCTTTGATAAATTGACCTTTCTCTTTCCATCAAGGGAAGATTGGAGAGAGGGCAGAGTCGGCTCCTGGGATGGACTTGTCTGGTACACGGACGGGTCCAGAATGGGAGATCTGGCCGGAGCTGGAGCGTACTGCGAGACAACGGGATCAAGCTTGTCGGTCCCTCTGGGTCAGTACTGCACTGTGTTTCAGGCGGAAATTTTCGCTCTATTGATGGCGGCCAGAGAGGTGCTTCGGCTCAACTACGGAAGCAGGAGAGTCTTCTTCTGCTCGGATAGTAGGGCTGCACTCATGGCGCTGAAGTCAGTGCGTACGCGCTCCTTGTTGATAAAGGAGTGCAAAGGGGTACTGAGGAGGGTGGCTGAGGAGAGAAAGGTCACGTTGGTCTGGGTCCCGGGTCACACCGGTGTCCGGGGCAATGAGGCAGCGGACGCCTTAGCCAGTGAGGGCTCCTCGCATAGGCATATAGGGCCAGAGCCCCGCGCTTGGGGATCGCCCCGTGTGTGAGGCGGGGAGCTCTCGAAGCCTGGGCGAGAGACCGGGCCGCGGGGGACTGGAGAGTTGCTCCGGGAATGAGGCAGGCGAGGCTTATGATGGATGGGCCCGCCCTTCCTCGGACCAGGGAGCTGCTTAGACTGACCAGGAGGGAGTGTAGAGCACTAACAGGGGCCTACACAGGACATTGCAGGCTTAGGAGGCATCTCTGCTTGCTAGGCATTGGAGACGACCCGGAGTGTAGGTGGTGCATGGAAGGGGAGGAGACCCCGTATCATCTGCTCACCGAGTGCCCTGCCTTGACATGGGCAAGATTGGGAGTCTTCGGAACGGCCCTGATCGATCCGGACTCAGTGCACGGTATTGGGCTAAAGGAGTTGCTGACCTTCTACAGGAGGGGCGGCATTCTGGACGCCCTCTAGAGCGGCCTGGGGGCACAACGGGCCCATCTGGTGACCTAAGTGCTTGGACGCCCGCGAGGGCGCCCCCCTTTAATACCAATACCAATACCAATACCCCGTGGAGCAGCCTCATATGGATAGTGCCCAAAAAGGCAGACGCATCTGGTGAACGTAAATGGCGTATTGTTATTGATTACAGAAAGTTAAATGAAAAAACTGTCGATGATAAATTTCCGTTACCTAACATTTCAGATATTTTAAACAAAGTAGGGAAAACCCAATCTTGATTTTACGAATGGTTTCCACCAAATTGAAATGGACCCAGAAGATATTTCTAAAACAGCTTTTTCCACTGATACCGGATTATATGAATTTAAATAGAATTTATTTAGGCCATAAAATTACTAGCGAAATCCTTATAAAATCGAAGCAGTATAAAGCTTCCCTATTCCAAAAACACAAAAGGATATAAAGTCATTTTTAGGCCTAACCGGTTATTACCGAAAATTTATTAAAGATTTATTATTAACAATTATTAATTAATGTCCCTATACTAAAATATCCAGACTTTCAGGCATTTCAAAAACTCTCGGAGACATAGAGAAAGAATCCAATCCAAAAATAATTATTCACGAAAACAGACTTATAAGACCAGCTTTTAAAACAACAATACATAGTAAAAATAACGACGAATATCTTCAAGATATTCTCATATTAGACGAAATAATCAACAACAGGCAAAACCAATTAATTCTCAAGAAAGCACCTTATTCTACTTATATAAAATATAATATTGAAAATTTTGGTGGTCATTACATTATAAATGCAATAATTCCCGAAAATGAAACTATTTTAACTACATTCTTTAAGGAACATCTAAACAATAAGAAAATATATGTTCACCTTTTGTCTAAAGAATTGCGACCTATTGTGCAAATGGTTTTAACAAAGCATTTTTAAAATTGTAAACTAATTGAATGTACAAAATTAATTAATAATGTTAAACCAGAAGAAAAAGTAATTCGTTATAAACATGAATGAAAAACAAATCATAGAGGCATCGAGGAAACATCTAAATTTCTAAGAAATAGTTATTATTGGAAATCTTTAAAATCAGATGTTACGAAATATATTAACGATTATGAAATTTGCCAACGAGCAAAGTATCACCGAAAGCCACCTGATCAACCATTGATTCTTCAGAAACCAGAACTCGAAACCAGAAACCCTCTAAATCATTTGAAATCATACATATCGATATATTTAATGTAGGAGGACAAACATTTCTAACTATTATCGATAAATTTTCTAAAGTTGCACAAGCACTCCCCCGATTTTGCAACCGCAATTTCAGCATGTCAACAATTAGTCCGCTTTTTCTCGTTCTGGAATTCCGAATCTAATAATCTCTGATAATGGAACTGAATTTAAAAATAATGTATTAAACTCCTTATTAAAAGTACATAAAATTAATAAAATAAAAAAAATCATCATTCAACTCTAATCGAACATTTAAGGCTACTCAAAGAATCCGATGCCTTATGCAATTATTACCTATAATAGTACTATACATTCAAGTACAAATTATACACCCTTTGAACTTATACTGGGACACACCGATATCAGAGACCCTTTGACTCAAATTCGTTCACAAGTCTATTCTGAATATGTGAATTCTCACCAAACAAATAAAAAGCTCCTCTATAATAAAATCCATGATAACTCTCTAATTAAGAAACAAAACATTATCAATAAAATCAATGAAACGTATAGAAAATCGAGCAGGTAAATTAAATAAAAAAAATTTCGGACCATTCATTCTAACTAAAATTCTAGAAAATAACAAGATTGAAATTCAAAATCAGAAAACAAAAAAGAAATAAACAATTCATATTAATGAGAATAAAATTATGAATATTGTTCTAGATGTTCTAGATTCTACAAATGATTACCCAGGACTTCTTCCTTATAAAGGATTTCTAACTACCTCTCACTCGTGCAAATCTTTGACTTAAATAATATAATTTCTGAATTTGCTATAATTCAAAATCAAGCAAAATTGCTAATAGAAAAACCAAAAAATAACGATCAATACTCTGCTGAATTTTCGAACTCCGTCACTCCACTCCTAGCGTTAAAAAAACGCATCGAGAATCAAATTAATCAAATGAACCCTGCAACGAAAAAATTACGAAATAAACGCGGCTTGTTAAATCCAATTGGTTCTATCATTAAATATATTACTGGTAACTTAGATCAAACTGATGCGGAAAAATATGAAATGCAAACTGAGAGAAATCCAAAATAAATTAAAAACCAATTCAATTTACAAAATAAAATTATTAGAAAAGACAATCAATATGTTTCATAATGCAATAACCAATATCTCACATAAGCGGATTATCCCTAAATCAAAAATGCTACAAACTGACGAAACAGTATAAATAGAATCGATTAGTCTTCGACGATGCGCTGGTTGCCCAGCTGAACCTTTCTCTAGCTATACGACGGAAGAAAACCCTCGACACCCCTGAAATTGACCTGAGCGCTATAACTAGATGAAAATAAAAGAACACTAGAAGAAATGACGGCTAGAGTTTATATACAACGAACTAGTGTTTGGACTATTGTTTGTGTATTATTATTGTGCTAACCATTGTCTATATAAATATTTTGTTTCTAATAAACTAAAAGGAAAAAAAAAAAGAAATAATAAAAAATATTGTAATATAACAAAAAGCACTTATGCTTTATCGTTGCTTAGTTAGCGTCTAGACAGTAATGTTACCTTGTTCCTTATGATTCTTGTATTGTACACGTACAATTGTAAGAAAGTTCTTGACCAGTTTGTTAAAAACCAAGCTCGAATAAAGTTTTTAAATAATCAAAATCGTTTTATAAGACGAAAACCCTACAGTGTGTAATTGTATCAAGGACAAGCGAAGGAAAATATTCAATTATTTTTCATCCTGGTTTCGTAAATAAGAACAATGTAGTTCCCCGTAACATACCGTACACCACGGATTTTTAAAGCAAAAAAACTCTCTATCGAATTCTCTAGAACTCGTCGGGTCTTACGATGGTCCGATAACGCAGTTAGCTCATTCCTTGTTTTCGTGCCGTACAGTGCGTAGCGCGTTTGATGCGTGTATGCTTACC